CTCGTAATGCCTACTTTTGGCCCCTGAGAACCTCCCTTACATCATGTTTCGCTCTCCTGCTATTCCTATTCGGGCCCTGACACAGACGGCAGTGACGGAAGACCCCCAATTTTCCCATCAATCCACAGCTCCCGGATTGACTCAATCTACAAGCCACAGAAACCAAATCATAGGTCCATGAAGCTGTCTACGGCTACTAAGTTCCCAGCGGAGGTCACTAATTGGAAGCATCCGGTGGCGTACAGTATGACAGCTAAATGCCGGGGATAGTCGTTTGTCGTCTTAAGCCAGGGTACAAATAAGAATTCCAAGGGATCCTAATCTACTGAAAGTTAGCTCCGCAGACCATGCGTTTGGCGACTTAATTGTGGACAGATGCTTCACTCAGATTAGAGGACTCGGTCCCATGGAAAATGTGAGAAGAGTAATGCGATGTAGAGGAGCTCAGACAACTTCCAGTTTGTATACCATTCCTGCGAATGAAAGATTCTTGATCAACAACCCAGCGATCCCTCCACCTTTGTTGCTGGCTCCCGACGGCCTGCGAAGCTAGACAAACCAAACCTCTCAACGAGCAGCGTTAGAACTCTAGTTGGCTGAACACTGCAAAAATTCTGACGATGCCGGAACAGGTAGATTGGGAAGTTGACCACGTATGGGTGGGTGTCAACATCCGTAGGAGACTCATACTGGACAAAATCCTAAACGCCATCAGCCACTGTTCCACTTCCAACTCCTAAGTACTCTAAGTCGCTTAAGGTAACGGGCAATCCCGCCTGCAAATTACTGAGGTAAATGGCACCAGGTGAGCAAACAGAGAATGAACTGTGCACAGCACGATTACGGACTATTTAAATGGACAAGAGACACGTGCATGGCGGCATTAAGAGCCGGTTGGCAACAGTACGACGTTTGACTCATAAACGTGTTCGTTTCTCATGCGAGAAGTCTCTTCTACCAGGTGACACCATTCCAAATGGCTAAGGTGGGAGCCTCCGCGCTGCCAGGGCCTGACGGGCTGACTTGTAATAGTAGAGAAGCGGGTTGACTCACAGCTGGCCAGCATTTGCAAATTTTTCAGGCGTCTGCCACCAACTCAGGAGTTTACGGATATCTTACTAATGAAGTAGATTTCCTTGCCGTTGACTTTAGCTTTGAGCCAGTACACTACAAACCGCTTCTCCTTATGAACGACACCTCCCCGGGTCCAGCGACGTCCGCAACGCGCACTGCTAGAAATTGCACCAATTTTAGCTGTATCTCTGAGTTTCTCAAGCATTCTTGAAGTAGGAGGAAAGCCCTCGATCCTTTGTAGATGAGCCACACTGTGAACCTTAATGGGCTTTCAACGAATCAACCTTAAGCAGTACAAACTGTCGAAGCTCATGTTCACACCTTCCAATACAATGGAGTCTTCTAACTATGACGATCAGAGGGGCCACTTTGTGACGAGTAATTTCTTCACAACCCGGCAGCACAGATTTAGAAAAGAGTACTCTTGCGCTACTTACCTGCTTACAGCAGTAGATGGATGGATTAACACTGTCGACCGACGAGGTTTGATCGTGCTAATCGCGGCTACCTTATTGATAAATTAGAGAGGGTAGGATCAATCCATCGTTCGCTCGCTGGTCGTCCTCATGTTTACGAGTTCCAGTTGACCTTTCTGTCTGAAGAAGCGGAATGTCCTGGTGGAATTCCGGGCAGTCCAGGAATAGAACCTCTTCTCTTTTAAATATGCATAAACAACTTGCCTCCACAGCCGTCTTCTGAAATCTTCCTTATCACTGACGTAAAAATATAGGGAGAAATCAGAAGTCATGGGGTTACTGTTTCTCTACAGACGGAACCAATTCAGTGTCAAAACTTGGCAGTCAGTAGTGAGCTTCCATTCCATCCCGAGAAACTCAAGGCTGTACATTTAAAACATAAAGCACTTCATGTATGTAGCCCAAACAGCATATTGCTCAAAGCACCACAGGTGGAGAAAGATTGGGAGTTCTAGTCATTAGACTTCAGATGCCATGCCAACCGTGGCAGAGGCGTATTTCAAGGTAACTTGGCGTTAGTAACCCTTGGACTAACTTTCGGACATTTGTGGCTGAAAATATCACCAAATTTTCACCAGCCTCACACGGTCTGGACTGCAGTTTAAGATTAAAGCCTCTACTCAGGATAGGGAAAAATCGAGCTGTTGACCGAAACGGTTCGAGGACTAACCACTGGCTGTGCCTGATCCACATCCACTGGAATATCGGAAACTGGGAAGGGACTTGGTTTTAGCTTACAAAATCTTGAACACCTCTGGACACTTACTCCGTTACTTACTGAAGCCTAGTTTTAACACCAACCTTAGAGGGCACATGCAGAAACTAAACCAGGAACCTTGCAAGTTAGATATCAGACACAACTGCTTTTCAAGAGGCGACAAAACCCGGGATGCACTTCCAGAAGAGCTGATCCATCCTACTCCTTCTGGATCCGTCAAGGGATGAATCAGCACATGCTCAGGATGCGGATGTGAGCTCAGTCAGAATGATATTAGTTTTCAAATTTTAAACATACTGTGATCCCCCTTTTAGTTGTACACAAATTAGCAACCATAGGATAAAGTCATTTACGGATTCTAGACACTAAATTCAGCCAATCCAAAGCTTTTTGTATTCTGAAAGTAACTTGTATTCACCGCAGCTGTAGGACAAATCATATAATCTCTTCATGTTTAATCAACACCTAACCGCCCGTTGGTATACTACAGCCACAGCAGGCGAGCAAGTATACCTAGGGCGTTGAAATCTACCAAAGACCTAGAAGTGAGTGTGAAGAAATCAACTGGTTTACACAAGCCGGCACCAAAAATATTGCATATTGGACACTGCGACGCTTGGAAACTGGATTAGCGCGCTCTTTGAATAGTGACGTGTTTTCGCTCGTCTCTCAGCTTTTGGATTCTTCCAAATTGAAAAACTCCCACTTGCAATACTCGATCTAAAAAGATCGAACGTTTACAACACTTCTGTTCCTGTATACATCTCACCGCTGCCTGTTCGTCAGCTCACTCCTCAACAGTTGAAAATTGGCATTATTATTCCTTTTGACCAACCAGTCCACCTCCTGTCAGTGGTTCTTGGGCATTTCAACTGCCAAACTCTCTTAGCTCTCGGTTCTTCCCAGAGGTCATTCCTAAGGAAATATCTTTCCTGGTTATACATACGCATCCGGAGCTTACAGTTAAACTCGTTGGTCAAGAGCAGAAGATCAAGTGACAGGTGTCTGGAGGTGAGCCAACATAAATCGTCTTCCCTCATCTATTCTGTCCTTTTGCTGAATTCAGTCTTCAATCTTCTTACTGTTGTTAACTATTTGTTTTCCCAAGAAGTTTATATTATGGCGCCATGTCTGCCCAAAAAGCTGGATTCAAAGCTTTCACACGGATAACGCGGTCGTGCGAAAAAGGGACAATAACACCCGAAACAACGCATTAGTCTGTACTCGTAGACAAAAGAAGTGGCCAACCTATGTCTCTAGAATTCCAGTCACCATCGGAGAGGTGACACAGAGTAGCACTAGCCCGTCACAAACTGGTCCTCTCCTGAGCAAGGATCATATCATGCCTGAAAATGTCCTCACCTATCTTCCTCTTCGCTTGGGGGTGGTAAACGAAGAAGCTGGTTGTGAAGAGCTAGAAAAGGACTCACAGCAACTCGAGCTCTGGTCGTCGGAAAATGGTCTGAGCTTCAACCTGGAAAAGTGCAGAGTAATGCACACCGGTAGAAATGAAGCAAGCACGACCGACCTCCAGCACGTGTTGAGCAACCGTGCTATCACCAGAGTGTCCATGGAGAAAGATTTGGGGCCCGACTTCTTCGACACCCTGGACACCAGCTCCAACTCCGAAGGTATGACAACCAGGGCGAATGCCATCCTACACTTTTTGCGTAGGCAGCTTGGAGCCCTCACTCCCGAACTCTTCCTCACCATTTTCAAATCCTACGTGCGGCCGCATTTAGAGGTCTTCCAACAATCAAGAGAGACCCTAATCTCCTTGAAAGAATACAAAGAACTGCAACGAAATCTGTTGTGGGGCTGGGGGGAAAAACGTATCCTGAAAGACTTAAACACCTAAACCTATTTACCTTGGGTTACCGCAGGAAAAGGGGTGACCTTATTATGGCATGCAAGATCGCCCATCAGGCAGACCATGCAAACAAATCGATTTTGCCTGCAACTCAACGATCTTCACGGGGAAACCTTATTAAGATAGCACACCAGAGAGCCAACACCATACTCAGATCCAAATTCTTCTCCCTAGGAGTATGTGCTTTATGGAGCACCTTACCGCAACATATCGTTATAGCTCCTTCAGTCGACTCCTTCAAGAGGCGATTAGACAGTTATGTCACCTCTCATGGACTACCACGTACGTGTTCAGGTAGTCGCCAACCTCACTAGCCCCCAACCCCCTCCTAACCGCCACTCACTATCTCTCTCCTCAATACATCCACATTTCCCACTAATTCTTCTGTAGGAACCAAACCCAAGTGACCACTCGCGCGATCCTCAAATACTTTTCCTTCGTTCTTATTTCTCTTTTTCACGCCTCCTTTTCTTCTCCTTCCCTTCTTTTCCTTTTTCTCCACTATTATTATTATTCTTTCCTTGTCCTCTCTTCATTCCTTTACCACTACCTTACTATCCTCTTTCAGGTACCTACACAGACAGGAGTCACGGCAGTTCTCTAAACTTCCCAGCAACCCGTAGCTCCCCAATCAGTCTGCAAATTACAACTTACTAACCCACAAAACATCCACCTCAACAAAGCCAAAAGCAAGAAAGCAGAGAAGATTTCCTTGTCCACTACAGGAGTGAGCCAACCAACTCTAACCAAGCCCTAAGAACTAGACGCGAGAGATCAAAAACCACCAGTTTTCTACGCTCGCACTATGAATATTTGATATTAGATATTGGACATGAATTTCCAAGTGCTTCAAAGATGACTTGACAAGGTCACCTGTTCTCTTAATTTGTATCCAGTGATGATTTGATGGTGTGCACTAGTAGTAGTAGTAATAATAGGATTTGCCGGAGGTTGCAAGTGTATTTTAGACGCTGCACAGGGATCCTTCCGGAAGCATTGGTTTCTCTGGACTCCTCAAGGTTTCGTGTATTCTCATAATCCTCACTTTACTGTAGAATTGTTATTCTGTTTTTTGCAGCTGGTGGATTGGCGTTATTAGATGCACTAGAAAATGTAGACAAACGTGAAATTATCGAATTTATCTACTCTCACCAAATACTACCTATAGGTATAACTTGATTTACATTGTATTTCTGATTGTTCAGATTCTCAGGACAAAAAGAGTGGATTTAGAGGCTCAAGTCTTATCGGTTGCTCATCAGATCCTGAGAAGGTAGGTTCTTATTTCCGCAAACATCAAGGTTCATCCTGTAAATGTTAGTTATTTTACATGCAGAAGATTTTTATGATGCTAGTAATTGGTGTAGCGCCTGAGATCGGTAATTCATATCTCATATCATTGTAATTAGCTATATCTAAAGTTATGGTGTCGAATCCTATCTCGCTGGGGCATGTAGACAGCCAGTGTTGCTGGTGCACTCGGTCCTTCCATTTTTGGTTATAATGGGTATAAACTGACAAACTAGATGAATACCTATTATTTTAACATTTGGGTCAGTACTTAGTAAGTCTACGTTCGTTACTTTTGTTAGGCTTATTACCTGAAACCCTGTTGAAACTGACGGTATTCCACAACAATTACCACCGTTTTGTGGAGTTTTGACTAAAAGGCTGCTTGACTTCAATCTATTGTGTCTATATTTTAGATGTAGTTAGTCGAAGGCAGTAAGTTCGTTGAGAGTGCTAGTCTGTGTCGTTAGAAACCCTTAGAGTATATGTTACTGACTCCGGACCATCAATTGCCTCGAGAGTTTATTCGTTTAGAGGGGGATTTTCCATGGTATTCATAACAGTGTATGATATTAATATTCGAATTTCCAGTCAATGAATTTTTAGCATATATCTAGTTGTGAGCCTTCCGGTTGGTTGAAAATCGTCGAAGTTAGTCACAAACAAGTAGAATGTATAAAACTCGTTACCACACAGATGTGAACATTCTGTTTCATTTTGCAAACAATTATTTTTCTCATCGTACATTTCATATCGTTATCCTCTTTCTATAAGTTCTTTTAGACTGTTAACGTTGGCATGGCTATCATTTTTGTTTCTAATGGCCCGCTGTTTTGACTTCCATCTTCATTTTTGCAATGCGTTGTAATACGAACCGTTATTAGTACGCTGTCGTATGACGGTTTCACCTTTTTGAATTCTTGTGTGCTTTCTCTTCATACATCTGTTCTATTTACATAAACCATATGCTCTCGCCTTATTAAAAATGATACGACAGGCGAGGCATCGATTTTTATGATAAAAATTAGTCCGAATCAATAAAAGTGGGATTCTCCGTGGTCATTTTAGGGTTTATCTTCTTTATATTAAACGTTATACTGGAGTGTTAACTGTAACTAATCCCACTTAGACTTGGTACAAAATAAGCGCTGGGAAACGTGACAGCTATAAATATTTTTTGTTCTGTACTCGTAACGGCATCAGCTATCTTTTTGCCAGTATTATCCAGCCAAGAGGTTGAAATGAGTCTGTTGTCAGCCTTTTCAACTAATTATGCAGCTTCACACTTCATATCTGCTTAATATTTCGTTCAAAAACTAGCCAAGTAAGCGTTTTAAAAACTAAAGGTAGTTTGATTTTGGGCAGTGACATAACAAAATTGTATTTATTTCAATCTCTTTATATCTTACTTTCTTGTGACCGATTTACACTATCAAAAATTATTGCACCGATGAGCAAAACACTAGCCACCACTTTCTCACACCAGTATTTAAACCTCGTTCGTATTCTAAGACTCCTTACTAAACTCTTCAAGCCTACTAACTTTGTTTTGAGGTTGATCAGCCATTCGATGCAGTTAATTTTAAAAACACAAATGCACAAACACTTCATGCTATGTACACCGTTGCATTCGTCATAACGGCTGAGAGGAAAATATTTTACGTTATTTAGTCGCTTTTCATATGGATTGGTAGTGCAAAAAATGTAAGGTTTGTAAATTGATGCTCTCGATTGTGACGCCGATATGAGCGTCGTGAATAATAACCTATTTTTATGCTAAGATGTGGGTATTATCAACTGAAATATACTGCTTTGTTACTATCTCTACCAAAATGTTCCATGCAAAAGATAGCTTTAATCAATATTAAGATAACAAGACGAACGCTGACGAATTTATTGACATCCACAATGATATGAACTAGAATGGTCACTAAAGCAGTCTAAATTATGTCATATCAGTAGATCAGTCCTGTCTTATTAAATTAATCTTAAAGCTGTGGTAGATTGCCTTCAGTTTTCGGCTTTCAAGCATTGAGTTGAGGAGTCGAATCTGTTTGCGCCTACTTCGACCCTGACAACCGAGTAGTATTATAAGCCCTCAGACTATAGGTATGGTTCATCAACTTGCTTCCAGACACATGTACTAGGTTGAGTTACATTGTTTGATTTAATTTTTATATTATGGTTCTAAAAATGATACTAATTTTCAGGTATTCGGATTTCAAAAAAGCCACCTCCCTCTCAAGGTGCCAAGTTAAAGACGTCACTAGGTGTAACGTTTTAAAGTTTCAATGTGACTCACAAAGTTTTCCTATAGTTCATGATTTCTGTCTTTGCTTACTGATAACTATTTATTTGACTGGTACGTTTTGTCTTAGCAAGTTACTTCTAGTCTTCTTTTTTTCTTTGTAATCGACCACAGTGACAGGAATGTATTTAGTGTTGTTAAATTAATTTAGGTTGACCAATTGCTGGTCAGTTGGTGGAACAAAATGTTACGATGGTTAATTAATAACTACTCATAGAATTGAAGTTGGTGACTTTTAGAGTTATAGCAGTCCTTGAAACCCAGACCAATTGACCACCAAAAGGTGAAACGCGAAATTAAAATTGTAGACTTAGTGAAATAGTACTGTTATGTGTCTACAGATGCGACCTAAAATCTTTCTGATAATAAATGATTCGGATTGACTGCACAACCACGTCTATATACGCTACAATGATCGTTTTCCAATGTCTTAGCACCTCATTGCTTCATATATAATTCTAGTTGCTCCCCTTGTGAGTAAGTCATTGACGCGTTGTAAACGATAGTCTTAATGGATGTTAACTTAGAACCAATCTTTTCGCATCTACCATTTTCATTACTTTCTCCGTTTGAGATTTCATTGCCATTCATTATCTATGGTTGTTGTGTTAACTTTTCTAACCTTGTTTTAAGCTTCTTTGGGTTTGTGCGAAATACATTAAACCAGACTGTATAGGCGTTTCGGTTTTCGCTAGTTCAGAAGGTGTTGGGTACCATTGACATTATTTTGTTTACTCATATTCTCTTCCACAACTTTCACGGCGAAATGAAAGTAATTCTTGACTTCAAGGTCAACACCACTGTCATACTCTAATAAGTATTTAACCAGTCATTTCTTAATAAAACCTTGATATTTTTATTTTCAAGCTGACTTCAGAAAGGCGTTCCAGTTATGATACTTGTTTATCAAGACATAGTAATACAGACTCGAACTGACTCAGTAGGAGTCCGAGCATGTACTTGAGAAATGCCGGTCATTCAGCTGTCCTATCCAGTGGGGTTTGACAGTGATAGTCTACCATCTTCAGACTAAAGTAGGTAAACTAGTGTTTCTGTATGTTTATGGTGAGGTGTGCCAATTAAATCAATATGCCTTCTGCCTTAGAAGTTCAAGCTATTTCTATAACTTCAACATTATGGCAACTGACTGTTGTATTCCAAAACCCTTGAAGAGTGACGCCATTTTAATACCTATACTCGGATACCCTTTGCGTAACTCAGAAGTGTAGCTCAGCTGGTAGCATTTGAATTGATTAGCGTTGTATACTTCACCCCTTACATAGTCAGACACTGCCTCAACACCTCACAGTCGACAAAATCAAATGCTCCCTTCAGGTCAAGAAATATGGCAAATGTCGCTGCTAATAAGTATGCCTGTGTTCCCCAAACTGTTGAAGGGTGAAAATCTGATCGAAGCACCGTCTTCCAGGTCTGAAACCTCTCTACTTTTTGCAAGTTTAGTGTTATCAAGCCTCATCTAGGTGTCGGCTAACTATCGATCTGATATTAGTCATTGTCATTACCTTATGATTGTTACAGGAAGACTTCTTCCCCTTCTTTTAGACTGAGATGGTCGGTAAAGTAGATTAACTTGACTTGATTACCCTAGATTCATATATACTGCGTTGTACCTATGTTAATCTTATCAGTAAATTTTTACCTCCATCCTTAGAAACATCTAGTGGCAAGCCACCAGGTCCTGCTGATTTGTATCGTTTCAGGTTCAAAACACCCTTCTGAACTTTAATGAGAGTAGGGGGATCAACACCTACGTTTAATTCTGATTCAAACTGTATGTTGGGCAACTGAAGCGTTGTTGTAGGCCAGTTGAACTGTGGTTCCAAGTGTTTTGTCGAAAGTTCTAGCCATCTGTCTTGAGAGGTTATCAGGGTGTCGTCGTTATCACTAAACATCGTCTTGTTGCCAGTATCCTTAATAAAACTAAATAATTTTCAAGTACTACCTATTGCTGATTCCTTGTCCATCTCTTTCTTTCACCACTTACGACTGTTCGCAGTCGTTGTGAGGATTCCATATTCAGTTTAGGTTCACATTGCTTTCGTTTCTCACTGTGGTTAGAGCCAGCTGGAATGAGTCTTCCCGCACCAGTTAATTCGGATGCGGTTTTCAAAATCTACTGGTTTTTTGCGAACCTGAGCATTTAGGTTACTAGGTGTTGTTATTGCTGTTACCGTAGGAGACTCTATTGTAGGGACCAGTTGCAAAGGTAAAAGAAGTGGAAGCTAGTATGCAAGCGAAAAAACTGGTCAGATGACAAGGAAGCGGGTCAAAAGAGAGCCAAAAAACTATTGTTGAATGTGTTCCTACTGTTGACATTCACCAGCTACACGTCATAAAACACCACATATTCTTTGACCATCCGAAAAGCATGTCATTATCTGATTTTATTTATCTAGCGGTCTAGTCGTTAAGCTCAGGAGATTATCTTGTTGGACTTAAGCACAATATTTTTTGGAGTTACTAAATTTAGTCTGGTTAGATTGGAAATGAGAAATTCTTATCACCAATTTCCGGATTTTGCGGGAAAAGGAATTGTGCCATTCTCGAGGCGAATATGTATCATTCTTCTAGACAGTAGTAGTAGCATCAATCAAAATACCATATTTTGTTTAGGAAGTTCTGATTGCTGTCACGAACTATTATGACTGATCTTACTGTTGCAGCCTTTAAGCTAAAACTATTGTAACCTTTTATTTTTACCGACTAGCTACTTCTGTTCTTGATAGCCTGTAATCAACTTTCTTGGTACGGCGTAACCTCGAGAAAAACGCACGTCAGCCAATACTGTTTCACTAAGTTATTTCGGCAAATGGAGCTTCACTATCAAATCTAGATAGCAACTTCAGTTTGGCTTGAGATAATAACTGATTTTATGTGTGGATAAGGCACCTGCTTTTGCTCTTTCTCTTAACTTTAATGATTTCTTCACAAAAGCTGTTGATGGCTCACATTCCTACCGTGGTTTTTGGAAATACGTTGATTTAGTGTCGGGTCGTTTATAAGGGTATTACTTACCTAAGAATCCCAGACTTGATGCCATAATAAGTGAAACTCTCGCAGTTCACAATGCCAGCAGAAGTTGAAATGCTTAAATCTGCACTTGAAACCGAGTGCATGATGTCAAAATGTATGTAAAGCGTGATATCAACTTTTCCTGGAAAATTTCAAAATTTTCGGCTTGATTCAATTAATTTCACTTTGCCTTTCATATTCATTATAGGTAAAATTAAATCGTTCAGACTATGATGGAAGTCATGCGACAATGGTGTATTCAGCTCTTGTTACACTGTTATTACTTGGTGATGACTTGTCTCGTGTGAACCGGAAAGGAGTCCTGACTGGATTGTCAGCTCTGCAATGTTCAGATGAACCTGGTTTATTCAAAGCAGGAGATATTTGTGCAGAACGAGACATGCGGTTTGTTTTCTCTGCAGTTGCCAGCTGTTATATCCTGAATGGACTGGATTCTATTAACTGTGAAAATGTTGCTAATTTTACCGCTAAATGTCTAGTATGTAGTAATTTTCATTTTTATATCCGTTCGTAATTGACTATGCTTGAATTCTTCATAAGTAATCGTAAATTTAAGATATTTATCCTCTGCGTTACAGTAACTATATTTCATCCTTTGTGCAAGGTAAGAACAACAAATTTTGCAGGATACGATGAATTCGTCGCCGTCTCTTCAACTATGTACAGGCTTTAGCTTCATACTAAAGTTAGTGCTGATGATGTCGTCTAGAAAGACGATGAAAGCTTCACGATTAAACAACCCAGCTCAGAGAACACAATACAACTAAGATAGAGAGAAGAACTATAATGCACGTAAATCTCTTGTCAATAAGATGATAGTCCATTGATGAGATAACGAAGGAATTGATACAGATTAGAAAAGTTCAAATGAAATAATTTGTGAAGTTATCTCTGATAGTCATGTAGTCAGACTGTCATATGACTGCATATGACCAGCCAAAAAATGAAATAGAAAGGATGACGTAAGCAATTGTATGTGGTGAGCTAATAATGTAAATATAAGGTCAGGATTTTCTTGCATGGCTTAAAGTCATTTCAGTCCGGGTCAAGTAGTAAATGTGTGAAGATGAAATAGAAACTAATAGTAAAGGGAGGGGAGGGAGTGGTGAAAATACAGAATTTTGGAAGGAATGGTTTTGTTGCATGAAAAATCAATTTCATCTGCTACTAAATAAAGTCGAATTCATAAGGTCCATGAAGACAATTGATACTGTTGCATTAAGAGTAATATAATCGTATTATTGTAAAGGATACTGTATTCAAATAATGAAATAAGTAGTGGAGCTGTAGCTCATTGGTTTTTGGAGATGGCTTTCAACTATGGGGTTGAACTCCGCTCCACTTGTTCAGGTTACAGCAGCCATGTAGTATTATTAAACCTCGCATAACGAGTGTCTCTGATTATCTACTGTACGAACGTGTATGAGGTTACTGACTAGATTTCAATTTTCTTAATATTTGTACTTTTATTCTCTTGAGTTTACTCTTTCGTTTTCTTGCAGTAGTCATACAATGTTCCTAATTTTCTTCACATTTATGAATATATACATCAGTAACCATTAAACTGTATTTTATCTTCATATTATGCGGTCTACGGCATACAAATACATTTTAGACCTATCAAGGTGGTTTTGCTAATCTACCATATTTGGAAGCACACGCTGGAGCTACTTATTGTGCAGTGGCCAGTTTATTCCTTATAAATAAATTGGAATTAGTTATACCTACTGGATCAAAGTCAAGAAATAGACTAGTTAAATGGTTATTAAATTTACAAACAGAAGGATTTCATGGACGTATCGGCAAACCAGATGACACATGTTATACGTTTTGGGTGTGTGCTAGTCTCAAAGTGAGTCTATTTTTAAGTCTTTTTTTACTTATATTTTTGAAGGCATAAGTTAATAAGTTGTTTAGTGTATCTGAGGATGGTTGAATTCAGAAAAACAGACTAGTTTTTAGTAGAATTTCACTTACTAATTACTTTTAAACTTAACTTTAGTTATCGAGTATTTTCCCCTGATACCGTGCGAATAATTCATAACGGTTCTCACTTCACTACATTAAGTGTTAACTTATAGGGTTTTGAAACTGGTAATTTTGGACTCGACCCCTCATGCCATCGTGAGCGCGCATTGCTTATGAGTTCCAAACTAGGAAGAAACAGCTGTTCAATGTTCCCAGGTTTCTAGTGGTTCATCACTTCGTGATGGAAACTACTTTCAAATCAATAAACTGGTACAAAACAGCAGTTGAACTAGGTCTTTTTGTCCACATTCTGATAGTTATGTTTTTTGAGTCATCCATGGTTTTGACTTATCAAAAGCGCATTTAATACTACCTGTTGTAGGTACATTTTGGGATTCATGTTATCAAATCCAAACTGACTAGTGAACTGCTTACATACTTAACCAGTAAGCTATACCTATGTTTGTGCAGCCATGTAGTATCGGGCAACTTTAAAGGCCACCCTAACAACCGTCCAAATAACCGATCAGGTTGCGGTATTTTAGCTGGGAAGACAGTTTTTTTTATAGAATAGAGAAACGTGATTGGTTATTTCACCATTCTCTAGGTTGGCCTTTAAAGTCGCTCGGTAGTATCATCACTAGCTTGCCCACTGCATGGGTGTGCACAAGGTAGCTGAGTCTCACTCAAGTTTGAGGTAGTGTTATATTAACACAGAGAACGTAAACTGCTGTCAGTAAAGTGCAAAAACTATCAGTTGAATATGGCTGAGTGCCAACGTATTATATAACTAACAAACTGCAAGTGAGATACGATTGAAAAAACTGTATTGAAAATACACGTTACTCATAAGTAACTTATGTATTTGATCATAGGACAGTAACTGAAAATGATAGAAGAGTTCTCTAGCTCAGGATAAGCATGATGCTAATTTTGTGTTCTCTGAGCTTTGATATTTCGTCGTAGATATTTCGTCGCCAAGCTTGGTGATATCCTCAACATTGAACCTGGTGATGAAACTTTCGCAACAAAATATTGAGACTAAGGGAACACCAAATCACCATCAAAAGAGTAACTTTAAAGACCACCTTAGCAGTTGTTGGTGGAATAACTAATTAGCTTTCTCTATTTCGACTGAAAATATAGTTTCTTCGTAAGATAAATATTTCTGATTGATCATTTCAATTACTGTTAGAGTGACTTTTAGATTCATTTTATGTAGTACGCTTAATTAAATGTAAAAAGGATGTATCAATCAATTGGAAATTATTTTGCTCAAAGAGATAAATGTGAAATGAATTCATTGAATCTTTGATTATCAGTAAGGATGCAAACAGCTTGATATCCGCATTGTACCAAGATTAAGGTCTTTAGACATTGTCGATGGACAGTTATCAATAATCGTGAAACATTTATTGATTGAAGCAAAGGGTTAATTTTCAAATAATGCATATATATGTGAGTTTATAAAATCTCAGAAACCAGGTTCTGCAATATTTCATGATAGAAGTGAGCCTTATATAACTGAAGAACAGGCCACCTTTCGTAGAAAGTTGAATGATGCCGATGAATGGTAGATAAATTTCAAGGGAAAATCATAATACAAGCGTACTATTGATGATTATTCGATTAAACTAGAGTAGTTTTTTATAGGATAAAGAATTCTCAATTTGGAGGTTTGCGGGGATTTCATTGATTTCAAGTTGGTATTCATCATGGACTGACATCGGTTGGAAAAACATTGGGAACCTGGGAGCAGTGAACGGCTGTTCCGTTCTAGTATATGACTCCTCAGCAGTGCGCACCCATGACCCCACCCACCAGGGATCGAACCCACGACCTTCAGGTTTTGTGGCCAGCACGTCACCATTGAACCACTGGGTTGGAATCCAATCGTCCATATTTCCTACTTCTGTCAGTTCACGATATAGCGCGACTTCCATCCAATATCGTTGTTGAGTAACTGTCCTCATGTTTGACTTGGTTGGCTCCACGGGTTACGACTTCTCATTGAAATTTTGGGAATCACCTTTTGATATTAATCACCAATAAGCACCATACTAATTCAGTTTTCGGGGATTTTATTGATGTTCAAACTAAATTAATCTGGTGCTCATTAGTGACTAGGTTCGAGAGGTACTTCCTGAAGTTCCAACGAGAAGTGGTGACCAGTGAGGCGAACCGGGTAGACGTGAGGACAAATGCTCAACAATGACATTGGGTGCTGGTCGCGCTATATCGTGAACTGAAAGGAGTAGGAAATGCGGACCACTGGGTTCCAACCCACTGACTCAATGGTAACGTGATGGCCACGGAACCTGAAGGTCGTGGATCCGACCCCTGTTGGGTGGGGTTATGGGTGCGCACTACTCAGGAGTTCCATACCAGAACGAAACAGCCGTCCAGTGACCTCAGGTTTCTAGTGTTTCTCCATGACGAATACCAACTTGAAAGAAATCTCAGTTTTGCAAATCTGGATATTATCCTTTTAATAAATTTCCTCCTTTTCATTTAGATGTTGAACTGTCACCATCTAGTCGACAAAAATGCTGTTATTAGCTTCGTAACAAGATGTTGGGATGACGTTGTGGGTGCATTCAAGAAAATCCCTGAAGAACAATGTACCCCAGGTAATTTTAGCAATTTATTTCACTTGGTGCTATTTTGATTCTGTATAGGCATTGGTTTAATATTTCTGATGTGTTTCCTTTAGTATGATTCTCATACACAATTCTTTTTCTTCAACCATAACCGCTTCTTGTATGTGGTAATCGTGTTTTTTTCTGCAACGATATAACCAAGCTATATTGACTGGAATAAGCTGGTCTGTGGAGTAATACTATCTCAAAAAGTCAAAAACTACTCGTATCTGAGAATAGTTTGATATAGTTGACTGTAGGTTAGTAAAACAGCGGTAACTTATCACCCCCAATATAACTAGGATCTTCAAAGATGCTGAAACAGTTTTGGATGATCCTTTTAAAATACATTATTTTCCCATTCCTCCTTCCTCTCTTTTACCGCATCTAACCGATTCTTTTTCACTTCTTCGTCTTGCATCTTACTGCTTTGTTGGACCGTTAGGCAGTAATATCTGGTGCTATCTAAAAACACTTTACTGAGCCACCTTGTGCATATCCGTGCACAGTAGGCATTGGGCCACATATATTGTGGGAGGACTAGTGATAGTACTTAGCCGCCCAAACCTCGGTAGGTGGAGTGGGGCTCAAACCCTTGACCCAGTGGTTGATAGTCACCTCTCGAAACTACTAAAACACAGTCCTGCTGATCCTATGTTGATATCGATGATGATGAACCAAATGACTGGGTGGCAACGTGTTCGTCACAAAAGCTGACAGTCCTTGGTCAGGTCACTCACGGAATCATGGCTGAAGATTGCCAAACTAGGACGAAATAGTTGTCCAATGCTCCTGGAATTTCACTACCTCCCGAACTGATCTTAATTGGTGATGAAAACTACTTTAAAATCAATGAATCCGCACGTAGATGAATTGCATCTGGATAGTATCATAATTCTTCATCTATAAGCTTTCATTAAAACCAAGTAAATAAACATGCATCAAATTCTTGATTCACATAGCGTTTTAAGAGCATTAGTTTGTGTTACAAGTGTTTTGAGAATAAGTGAACTTTGTTTATACTCTTTTGTACTGTCCAGTGCGTTTCAACAAATCCAGTGTACTCTTCAAAACAAACTTTACTACTAATCAGACATGTTAAATTCTAAATATGTTTAGAGTGAATATTACTTCACTAGGTTCCAGTGTCTATTTCTCAATACTCATGGGTAACTGGATCGTGTGTTTGATCAGCTGACTTCAGCTGTCTGGTGCATAGTAACTATGTGAATGTTAAAAGAATGAAAGTAACAGCTAGAGCAGAATAATATGGATTGCTTTTAATCTGGTCAGTTTCCCCTTGGTGCTTACAACTCAGACTATGAAAACAAAGAACGTATTCACCATAATTTTGTTCATTGATACTTGTAATCTCTCGCTGTCGCTACACTGGGTCAAGTTGCTTGACCTTTGTTGGCAGATGGACTGCTTTATGGATCTCTCGATACTGCTGGATATTCATAATGTTGTATTAATTTTGGTGACTAGCGAAGGAATCTAGAACACGTGTTTCCTCCTATTTGGGACTCATCAGCCGGATGCACTTGCACCTCAGTGAGTGATGTTGTTCCTAATGATACTCTAACCCAATGACCACCGCTCCAAACGCCAAAGCGTTACCCACTAGGCCAGCTGATGAGTCCTAAATAAAAGCCCATCTATCAACAGAAAGGTCCAGCAATTCGACCCAGTATAGTAATAGGTATTGCCAATTACCAATGAAGAATATCTGATACCGTAGCACAAGAGGTGGCTCTCATGCCCCAATGGTGTAGTGATTAACGCTTTGGCGTTTGAAGCGATGTTTACTGAGTTCGAGCCTCAGTGAGGACAATATCACTCAGTTGGTTGGAGGTGCATCCATCTTACAGGTCCCAAATAGGACGAAATATGCGTTCTGGTTTCCACTGCTAGCTATCGAGCAGACCATCTCACCATAATTTTATTCACTGAGGTGAATATGATCATCAGTAATAACTTACTGTAATAAGGAAGTATAATAACAAACCCAAGGAAAGTTAAGAAAACATGCCAAATTGTCGTGATTGTATACGTCAAAGAATTGAAGCTTGTTGAAAAGTGACAAGAGCAGTAACAAGATATGATTGGACTCAAAATGTAAGATTACGTAAGAAAATCAATGAAAAAACAAGTCGGAAATGAATGTATAATATATAGTTGTACTTAGTTATACAAAATGAATATCAGCGTGCAGCATACAGTGTTTATTGGGAATTAATGTAACAAAGTAAAGGTGAAAGTTAAGAATTATCAAGGTGAAGAGTGACAAAAGTTGCCTTCTTTTTTGATTGCGAAAATCAGTTTCAGATGTTTAATGGTTATAGCTTAAGGAGAAAAATTGTGAAAGATTCTATCTACTCTGTTTGTTGTCATAAAATATTTCAAGATGTTCATCTTATCATCGGTATCAACATTATTGCATAATGGTCCAAGTTGTCGTACCTCACATCATCATACCAAGCAATAATATGAAAGAAAAATAAATGAAGAAGAATCAGTCAAGTGTAGTAAAAGAGAAGAAGGAGTAATAATTAACTATTGAACTCAGTATGACGACTAAGATGAAAGCATGAACACATCTGTGCTATTAACTTGGATTCTGAGCCATGTCACCTAGAGTCTCCAACCACTGTTGTCGTGCGAATCCTAACCCGGAAGTCTGCATTTTCTTACGTGGCTCAAACTAAAAGTCAAGGACTTCATGCAATAATCCTATGTTTTAGTTTTTCCGCCCTGAGCTTTTTTCCAACTTAAACTTATTTCACCTAAAGTTGCGTGACGAGGTAGGCTTTGACTAGGTACGCATAACACATGTCTCAGCCAGTCACTTGAACCGATGAAGGTTAACCTCATTAACTGACTTTCTTCTTCTCCCAAAAACTCTACGCCTACCTTATACGTTACTAACATTGTATTCCCAGAACACGGTCCATTTTACTAAGCCAACGTTGGTTGCATATCTGAAGCCTCGTCATGTCCTCTACCTTCAATGAGTATGTTTCACAACCGTATAGTAGAACAGAATGAACTGCAACGCAGCACACTCTACCCTTATTACACAATAGGATATCACGGGATAAGTTAGCCAATCGACCTGTGCCAGTTTTATATACGGATTAATAGTTGTTAGTTGGATAGAGGTAATCGACTGCATCGTGATGCTGAGCCGCCTAGCCTGACAGCGACATTGTAAAATGATCGATAAAATTCGATCGGCACTTGACTCTAGACAACGCGGAGTTGGTGACCAATCAATGTATAGAGTAACCGCATTATTAGCTCATAAACTCTCTAGAAAATTCAAGGTACGTGCACCCTTTATTCTGTTCTTGTTGTGTGCCTGCTTTGGCAGCTATGCATAAATTGATATGCACAGTTAACATAGGATAAATACTATCAGTCATGAATAGTGAGAAATTTCCAAGTGTATACTTTAAATAATTATTACTCCCTAAAAGGGAAGCGATTGAATTGATTTTACTTGAATATTGTTGACTTTTTTTACAGGACAGAAATTAGTAATACTTCATTTTGTCTCTTTTAGATCCACTCCATACATATCTTTCTCTTTCTGGTTTATCATGTCTACGTGATAAAGATAGTGCCATTAAACACATGGATAATGATGTAACTAATTTTAACTCAGATGTATATCATGGTATACAAGATTTGATTAGTTCTAATCAACTTCTTACTGTTTACCCAGCATTGAATATTCCTGAATCAACATATGATCTTCTTCAACAGATACACCTTCGCTGGAGTAAGAAGTAAAAGTGCAATGCTTGCTATCATCTGACCTATGGAAGTTATACTATAATTTTATTGATGCACGGTTATAACTTTTCTTCTCTGTAGTTGAATACTCTTACTGTATTTATCTTTTATTTAAAATAAATCCTATCGAGAGTCTTAACGTTGTTTTGTTCAGTCTATGCAAGGATTATTTGTAGCAGGAATTGTGATTTGTTTGTATTTTAGTATTTGTAATCACAGTATGGAGCTGTAGCTCATTGTGTAGGTGCTCGACTTCCAACTAGTTGGTCACGGGTTCGAACCCTGACTACCGAGGTTTGGGTAACCAAGTGGTATCACTAGCTCTCATACACAATAGGTATGACAGATGGATCACTGCACGAAAGGGCATGTGGTTGCTGAGTGCACTTCGATTCGAATTCCCCTATTTACACCAATCATAACGTACGCCTGTGAACAGAACCTGTTAGAATAATCCAGTTCGTGGTCTGACAGTACTTCCATATGTCTCAAAGTGCACATTGCTGTAAATCCATTAACTCAGTAATTTACGGTGGGGGATGTTTGTAGCTCAGGAGGATAATTTGGTATTCTCTGAACTGGATGCTTTAATCGTATAGCTTCCATTTGCATTCTAGGCAGTATCGTCAGCATATACTTCAGAAAGAGGTGAGCTATGAGGTTTTCTCCACTTCTTTCTGGAGGTTGTGCAGATGATATTGTCTATAATAACAATGGAGGCTTCATGATTAAACCATCCAGCTCAGAGAACACAACACCATCAAATCAGTGATCTATATTTCTCAGCTGAATTCATACTGCTATACAATGTATCATCTCGGATCGATTTAGCGATTGTGTATTCTTAGTTCACACTCAATCTGTCTACAGGTCTCGATGGGAGATTCTATATGTCCATGCTTCACTCATTCCATAGAATGGTAATAATTCACATAATTGGTATGTTATACACATTAAGTATATTAACCAGAATAATGATCACAGGATTACTGGAACTCGAGTTATTGTAATGAAATCGCCTTCACTATTCTACGAAATGATTCAGAAGTTTTGAAAAATCAAAGCTATAAGAATGTATTTCAATATATCGCAAAAATGTCTACTTTAAGGTGTTAAATGTACTACTTTTTGTTCTACCACTAATGGGAAGGAATTTATACACTACGGTTAGTATGAATCGCAATATCCTTAATTCTGAGTATTCACATAGAAGTCTTAACGTTTCGGAATATCTCGAGTTGGAATTACTATTTATGATCAAACAAAACAGTTGGGCTTCCCCATAAAACAATTTTGAGACATTGTTGTAATTTACTGAGCAGTGGAATCCAGGATGCGCGTTTCAGACTCGTCAGCTGGATATACCTGGACTCTAGTGAGTGATTTTGTCCCCACAACATGATCAGTAATCAGATAATATAGAGGCATCCGCATAGGGACCTATATGCCCACAAGGGTCAGTCAATTCAATCCAGAATAACAACGGGAAATTAAAAGTAATAATCAATAACAAACTTGAGATAGCTTTGTCGTGCACAGCGTCATTCTTAATCTACACAACACTTCAGCACAGTCAGTGATTTTGGTGAGTTATTTCTATTGGATTTGTTGTTGATTTGACTTTTCACATGATCAGACGGATGACTTATTGGTTGAAAGTCAACTGCTCTGAAGTCAGTCAGCCAAAGATCACGCCCTGTACTTCAACAGCTGTCGATGAACCCAACTATTTTTACCCCACGAGTTATATAGATGTTTTCTAAAGGTAAATATTCAAGATTATTATTATATATATATATATATATATATATATATATATATATATATATATATATATATATATGTAATGTTAATTTATCTTATTTCTTTTCTTCCGCATGTATATGTTGAACGGAGTGGATGTTTTTTGGCTCTTTACGTAAACTGAACTCCAGTCAACTGCCTACTATCTCCTTTATACCTTATTGGCTAAGAAATACATGGAAGGGAAGTTCATATTCAACGAATGAATCCGAACCTGAACCTCCACAGAGTTCTTACTGCTGTGAATCTGGGTGTACCAACTGTGTATGGTTAGACTATGCAGAACGCCTACTCCAATATCATATGAAGAGAATTCAAGGCTTATCGAATGACAACATTCAAAATTCGGATAAAGAAGATTTAATAAATGAAATAGTGAATAGGCTTCGACAAGAGGTAAATCAAGTAGACGATCAAAGTGTAAGGGCATTTTTACTAACAGAAATAGCCATAAAGAAGAAAGAACTAATGAAAACACTAGAGAAAGATATCTGAGTGTAGAAATGTGATTTTTTTTCTGTTGTATTTTAATGTCACTATATTTACAAACAGTTAAGTTAATAATACTCAGTGTTGTAACATATATATATATATATATATATATATATATATATATATATATATATATATAGCACTTCAATGAGCAAAATGTTATTAGAATTTTGTGTGATGTCGTGCGTTATTTCTGGTGTAATCCGCACCTGGTTGCAATATATGCATGACTACAGGTGTTAACAAACAAAATGGACTCCTTAGTGTGTATGTAAAATTACATAAGTGTATGCTGAAAGTAACCAAGCGAATAATAATAATGTGATGATAAGGCACTTCGACTGGATACGAATGGCTACTATTCTCCCTCACACCTGATACTTCATTAAACCACCAAAATCAGAAGACAAAGATCGGTCCGTTACTGTGAGGGAGACTTTATATTTGGCAAAAGTACGTCATTTGTATACAGTTTTCACCAACATATAAAACTACTAGATCAGAAGTTGGGTGCTTATTTTGATTGGTGAACTGCAGGGCTAAATTGCCCAATAGGGTTTTTCTGAGCCACACAGCAACACGAAACCAAGGTCGAAATCCGAACACTTCTACCTCAGCGACTGATGACCTAAAATGTTGATGTCTGTTTAGACCGCTTCTTATCAGAGGCAATTGGCGAAAAGCTGCGGACCTGGGTTTCATGCTTGCTGACACTCGTCAGCAAGGTGAGCCTGCAAACTCGAGGGAAGTGATGTCCCTTGTGAGATTCGAACCCATCCATTGTTGTAGTCAGCGATGTCACCACTGAGCTATTCGAGCCCGAACAGCTCACAGGGGATACCAGTCCCTTCGAGATTGCTGACGAGTGCCAGCAACCATGAAATCCAGACCCAGGTCTTCCTGCCGATTGCTTTCAACCAACGAATATGTAGTATCTGGATCCTATTATCTCTGAGCAACTGACTTTAACTAGATTTCTCGGGTCGTATAATCTTTACACCTATTATTCTGGTGAATAAAGAGAAAACCAGCGAAATCAATGTACGAAACGCCTGTCGACATCATCTGCAGTTCCGTGCACTAGAAAATTAACCACATTCTTTGTGAGAACTGATGATATTACGTACCTGGTTGAATATAGCAACCGATACGTGGCATTATTCAATCGCAGATATCTGAATGATTTTTGCAGCCTCTAGTAAAAGTCAAACAGATTTAGTTAACGTAGCTAAGGACTTCAATGTGCCAGTGACAAGAAGCTATACTAAGCACAACGCGTCGGTGATACTTTTGAAACCAGCAATTAAAACTATAGTGGTGATGACCTTGTGTAACTCTCAACTGACTAGAGAGAACCAGGTGGTTCTCTTTTCTTCCGGACCGTGCAACTCAGTAAAATGTAGAAAACATCCCAAGTCAACTAGGATATGAGATTGCTAATGATGTATATAAAATGGGGTCATATTGTAGCATTAGTTTTTATCTTTCAACGAAAACTGGCATAACATAATGAAATCTTGCAACAGTCTAACTATCTCTATCCTGTAGCACTTATGTTACCATTAGGATTATCACTTTCGCACATCTTGTTGTGGTGAATTCCACTGTTACTTTACTGATGTGAGTCCCAACAACTTACGCTGGTGCGTAGTCACGTCAAGCTGTGTCTGGTTGCAAAGGTGAATGTTGAGAACGCTTTACTATGACACAAAACAGCAAAATTAGGTAGGCGAAGTAACCATTCTGTAATTATTCATCGATAGACAAGTGAAATAATTACTCATATGACAACCTATATGGATCATGAGGATGGCGAGTTCTAGTAGGTCGAACCAAGGCATGAAAGTAATTCCTAAAGTAAGTTAGATGAAGGCAATCGGCAGGAAGTCGTGCTTGACCTAGGCTTCGTGCTTTTTGGCACTCTTCAGTAAGACGTATCTACAACTTCAACGGAACTGATGCCCTGGATTTGAATAGGCGTCAGCCAATTATGCAGCCAGAAACGTTACCACAGGCATTCGAGCGGTGACTGACCTGTAGAACTGGGTTAGGCAAACTGATTAATTACTGAAGGGAAACCAGCTTCATGTAGTTCAGTCTTAAGTGTTCATTGAGTCTTATCGACCATTTGCTCGGATGCTCACCGTCGCGACACATGTTAGTTGGATCAAAGCAACTGGCAGTAAGCCCTACTAGACATAGATTTCGTGATTTCTGCTACTCATCCTTAGTAAATTCAACTTATCAGTGAGTAGTTTTGCTTATGAATCCGACTTCGATTTCCGGTTGACTTCATTTATTAATTGGAGTATGGTTAACTAAGAGGTGTCCAAAGCACATTATGCTCTGCAGATAAATTATTATTCCTTTGGGTTCCTAGTGGAACATAGGGCTTCAGTAGCACATCTCCAGTGCACTCTGTTCTCTGCAATATTTTGGACCTGGCTCCATGACTGCCCAGAAGCTCTCATTTCTTCCTCATACCATCTCCTCCATTTCACCCTCACCTCGGACGCCCAACTCGTCGTTTCCCATCTGGGTTACACTCGAGCGCCTCGTTTGGTGCATGATATCCCCAGTCGACCTTCTCAGTGTATGCCCAATCCATCTCCACTTCCTTCTGCATATTTGTTGAGCGATGGGTTCTTGGTTGGTTCTTTGCTAGAGTTCCTTGTTGCTTATTGTTTCTGGCCATCTGAGCTTCAGTATCGAGTGTAGGCAGTTGTTGGTGAATGTCTTGTTCACGCTTGATGTTGAGTGCAGAAGATCTCCATACTGATTTCAGGTTAATGAACGCCTGGCGGTCTGTCTTTATGATCCTGGTTTTGATATTCTCGTCTGTGCCGCCCGTAGTTGGAACGATACTGCCTTGCCTAGGTAGGTGTAGGTGAGAGACTACTTCCTTTAGGTTTCTCCCGTTGATGGTGATTGGAGCTTGTTGACGCTGTTGTTGGTTGAGTATCTTCATCACCTCTGTCTTCTCTACATTCACCTGAAATCCCGTCTTCGCTGCCTCTTCTGTCAACTTGTTAGCTTTTGCCTGTAGATCTTCGATTTTGTGCCACACGACATTAGACATATATCATCAGCGAAATCCAAATCTTCTAAGCTCTTTTCATCAGTTCAGCGTATGCTTATCTTCTCGCTCCTCACGGTTTGCTGCATGATTTAGTCCACAACAATCAGGAAGATCATCGGTGATAGTAGGCGGCAGCCTTGTCTTACTCCTGTCTTCACTTCAAAGGCGTCACTGAATTTCCCATTGTGGATCACTTGATATATGGCCTCTTTATATAGTTGTTGAATGAGGTTGATAAAGATTTGTGGCACTCCGTAGTGTTGAAGCAACTGCCAAATTACTTGTCGGTCGACGCTTTCGAAGGCCTTTTCGATGGAGTTGAGATAGAGATCTGACTGCTATTCTATGCTCTGTTCTATGATGATGCGTGGTGTTGCAGTTTGATCTGCACATGATTTATTCTTCCTGAAACCAGCCAGCCTGTTCAGGTCGTAACTTTGAATCCAGCGCATCCTTTAGTCTCTCCAGGATGATACGGCTTAATATTTTGCTTGCTCCAGGGGGACAGGAGCATGATTCCTCGCCAGTTCTTGCAAAGACTTAGGTCGCCCTTCTTTGGGAGTTTGACAAGGTAGCCCTTCTTCCAATCAATCCCTAGGTACCTTTCCTTCCAAACCTTGTGCAGTAGTAGTGGGAGCATGTCTGCTGTTGTCTCTGCGTCTATTTTCAGTGCATTGGCGGGATTCCATCTGGTCCTGCTGCTTTCCTGCATTTCAGTAGTTTTATGGCACTCAGGACATCGGCTATTGTCGGAGGGCTTGTATTCACTGGTAATTCCGTGGTTGCTGGTGGTACTTCCGAAAGGGCTGCAGGTGGTAGTCGATTCAAGAGTTTTTCGAAGTTACCAGCCCATTTTTTCCTTTGTTTCTCCTCTTTGGTAGCTAGGTTTCCTTCACTAGCTTTCATCGTCTGAGTCGATCTCTTTCCGGATAGTAACCTGGTTATTTGATATAATGTTGTCAGGTCTCTCTCTCGCCTACCAGCAGCCTGTTCTGCCTCACTTGCCGATGTCGTAGAAGTGTCTACTGTATTTGTGTGCACTCTTTTTCACTTTTGTCCAGTGTTTTGTACATTGTACCCAGTTCGTCTTTTCGTTGTGCATCCTTGCACTGGTTCATCTTCTGCTTCACCATCTTCCTCTCTCTCCTCTATCAGCTTCCATGTATCCGTGGAGACTCATTCCTTGTCTTGCTTTCTCTTCCTTCCTATTACGGTTTCTCCCCACATCTCTTTCGAAAACTTTCAGTGTTCTTCTACGCAGGTTCCTTCAGGGATATTGCTCAATGTCTCACATTCTTTCTTACAGGCTAACGTGAAGATGTTCTTTGTAATTTTGTCCTTCAGTTTTCATTCTGGGTGTTGAACTTGAACTGTGGTCTATCACCAACTTCCTTGAAGACTTTCAACTTGATTTTGAAGGTTCCTTGCACTAGGCAATGAGTGGTGTGAACCTATATCCGCTCGCCTTCTTGATCTTGTGTCCATCAACTGCGTCTCCACCTTCTTGAGATTGAGATAAAGTCGATCTGGTGTTTAGTGTCCTGGCGAAATCTATGTCGCTGCCTTGTAAATATCCTTGTGTTTGTACACACTGCCTCCAATCACCAAATCGTTGAATGCACAGAATTCTGCAAACAGTTCTCCGTTCTCATTCATTTCACCGAGTGCTTCTCGACACATGATGAGTTCTCTTCCTGTGTTGTCTGCTCCGAGTTTGGCATTCATATCGCCATTAGAATTTTGATATCGCCAACCGGAGTCTTGTCTAGTACTGATTGCACTTGTCTGTAGAATCCCTCCTTCTTCACTTGATCTGCATTATTTGTAGGTGCGTAGCGTCGAATTGTATGATTGCATCTTTTCCCCCTTTGCTTAGAATCTTGCTGTCGTGATCCTGATCATGCAGGAGAAGATTGGTTCCCACTGCATGAGAGCCTTCGATGTTCTTGGAGACATCATGATAGCCACTCCCTCAGTGTGCTCGTGGTTGTCATCCGGGTGACTGAAGTAGATCACTGACTCTCCAGTTAACATTTGGGAGAGTCCACTTTCATTCCATCTGCTCTCGCAGATTCCAGGCACTTCCATGCCACACCTCCTCATAACTTTCGCAATCTGGGCAGCCTTAGCAAGTTCATACATGGTGCGGACATTCCATGTCCCCATCCTTACTTTTGCTTTCATGGAGAGAAGACACATCGGCCAATTGGCTTCCCGAAGGCTTTCGTCTCTCTGAATCCAGCGAGGAATAAGTTTGTTTTTATGTTTTATATTTTGTTTGTGCTTTGAAGTTTCTGTAACGGTTGGATTGGTTTTACGGGTAGGGTTGCTAGCTCTATGCCCAATCTTCCCTTTTTATCTGGGCTTAGGACTGGCTGGTAACTAGTGAACTAGATGAATAAAACAGTACGACATTGCTTACTTACGTTATAGATATGTAAAGATCTGTAAGTCAGCTAAAAAACTAACCGTCGTATGTACACAGAGTGGTGTAATTGATTGACATTAGTTGTTACTAAGGTCTATACGGTCTCCATACTCCTACGGGGTGTAGTTCTCAAATCATGTACATAGAATGCACGTTTTTGTTCACTATGAAAAAAGTAGGTATGAGAATTTAAAATTCTCACAAAATATTTCCAAGAAAAAGCATTTTTTTTACATACATACAACATAAGACAGCAACTCGATACAAGAGGACGTACTTTACTGTGTAAAGGCAGAAAGCGAAGGAAGAATATAACACAGCGCAATGGTAAGGAACGGAAATTACCTTCATCAACAGATTTTGCTCATCATATGACTAAAATCTACTGGAAGTTTTGAACATAAATGCTTTCGTCGGAAGAAATCATCTGAATTTAATAGGAGAATGCAATTGTGCGCATAAATGTCGAGTGTAACTAAGCATCCAATCGAAAGTATTCAACTAAACGGTAAATAGTTTAACTGTACACAAATACCAGTGTCTGGAAATGAGAAACAAGATATTCTACAAATCGTTAATTTGAAATATACAATATGTAGTGATGGTATAGAGTTAATGTCAAACCCATTGTTGTGATGGGATCATAGCAACGTCTAGTAGACGCCAGGCGGCTAACGGGTTCAGTTCACTTTGATCACGACATAAAGCCCAAACATGCGTTACACGCAGTACCTTGTGCGGATCACCATCACGTACAGTTCCACTTTTATCACGAATACAGTTTATTTGTTGAGCTTGGAATGTTATAACCAACACAGGTCCCTGCTCCATCATTTTACCCATTTGAACCTAGAAACACATAAAAAAAGTGCATTGTATTAGAAAAAGACATGCATCGTTTCTGCCAGCGTTTAACCTATACTTCCACAATACGAGTATGAAGAAAATACCATACAAAAACTCTTATCTATACAACGATTTCAATACTATCTCCAAAAGATGAGAAATCCACTGCAAGTGGCTTTACTCTACGTAAAGAAATAGATGTCATGAGTATCTTACTGTTATTGACCAGTACTGATTGACCACGCTGCTAACAAGTACATACTATGAAAGATTAGCAAACACCTGTCTCAAATTTGTAGTTATTTTAACAAAGTTGAATTGGGAAATATAGATATAAGTCTGCTTAAGTACGTCACAGAAACTGAAAAATCACTACAGAGTAAGTCAGCATTACGCAATAAATAGCACAAGATTTACAGTACGAACTGACTACTTTTCTGTTGAAATGTTATAACCTGTGAATTTAACGTATATGCGAAGGTCATGCAACATACAGAAGTAATGATATGAGGCCGGAAATTTTATATGTCGACAACTATGATCATCAATTTGATCGCATATTGGATTATTTCAGTTACAAAGTGATAAGAGAACTACTAGAGATAAGACATTCGAGGTGTTATTAAACCATACGCACTTTGGTGCTAGATAGAAACCAGCGATGAAGAAAGTATCTATTAGCGTGAACAGAAAACACTTGTGAAGGGAAACCTTCATCACTACTGAACCAGGTTACACTGTAAAAAATCACCATGACAACCAACCGGATAAAGCGAAGTAATGTAGACGGCAGTTTTACCGGTATCATTTTTAAAAGGCACTCAACCAATGACGAATGATTAAACAAACTGTAAGCAGTCAACCAACGGAGGTATACAGCACCAAATAATCAACTCCAAGTGTTTTAAAAAGTAATGGAGTATTATTACTTATGAAAAATAAGATATACTCAGCTTCATGGGGACTGCACTGGACATCATGTGTTCCGTATATCACTGAAGGCTTGGTCACAAACAACTTTACTTCAGAATATACTTCCATCAACTCTTAGTGGGATATAATTCTTCAGTACTAATAGCATAAAGTCATTTGATCTTTCGGTAGGAGAAACAGCAATCTACATTGTGTATTATGATATTTGATTTAATAAACTAAGACCAAGGAGAGTAATACAACGATTGCTATATCTCTATATAGTGTTGTGACCTACCTGTGTAGGTAGTTGACTTTTAACCAAAGTCAAGAGGTTCAAAGCCCGCTCCACCTACAGAAGTGGAGCTGTGATTCATTGGGATTAGAAATTAAATTTCGACCAGTGAGTCACAAGTTCGAGGCCCGTTTCCCTTACCCAGGTTTAGGCAGCCAGGTAGTGTAGTATTATTAGCCCTCACATAATATGTGTGGATCACTGGCTACTGGATGAATGTGCATGAAGTTGTTCGGTGGATTTTAACTTTCTTTCGAATGAGGTTTGAGAAGACGGCGACGGGGATTATAAATATGCACATGGTTAGTGAAAGGATTTAGTTTTCTAGATAGTTATAGTTATGCTTTTACAAACTTATTCCACGCATTTAACAATGATTGAAGCAGATTGTGTGATTGTATGCATAGTCATTCATGAGTGATAAACTCACCCCTTTTAAATCTTTATAGTCACTCGATAGAGAATTGGTTTCTGTTCGGCTTATAAGACGAGAAATTGATAAGCTTGTATTAAACATTGTCAACGGTAGGCTTTTGTTATACGATTTACATAACCAACTTACGACGAAATAAAAAGAATACTTGAAAACAACAGTACTGAGTACTGAAAGTCACCAATATGGAAGAAAAAAAACTCACATCAACATTGTGTATATCCAGTATACGTGATTCAGAAATGTATCCAAGTTCTTTGATCTGTTTTAATGGTGTTGCTAGGACATTGTATGGCTATGTAAAAATGATAAAATTCAATGAATTAGCAAACAAAACATACCGCTTCAAGGCACCAATCCCTGAGAATATTCAGATCCACTCTGACTATAGCCTAAAAGTTAACAAGCAAAAAACGAATAAATAAAATGAATATCTTCGGTAATACTATATGTCAAGATTTGAAAAGATTTCAAAGGTAACGAATGAGACGTAAATGAAGAGAACTCTTCATTCGTTTAACAGATTGAGGATTCATTCAAATAAAGGGAGATATAAGACCTGAATAAAGGTGTCGGTATTGTGTTAAGAGAAATATTGGGGTTCAACACATAGATTGTGAATGATATCAACCAGAAGTCGATTTCATTAGATTCGTTCATTGGTTAGAAAACAGACAATAAAAGCAGATAAACTGATTCTATTCTAAACAGTAAATCATTAAAAGTATTCGGAAGATGTGCTTGCTGTTTAAAAGTCTTTTGGTTTAGATGTATTATGAGTGACGGTTGCAGTAGGTGCAGAATGAATATACTCAGTAGATTACACAATAAACATTTTAGTATATTTATTGTTTGTCCTTCGGGTTCCTAGTGGGACATAGGGCTTCAGTAACACGCCTTCAGTGCACTCTGTTCTCTGCGGTCTTTTAAACCTCGATCCATGACTGTCCAGAAGCTTTCATTTCTTTCACACACGATCTTCTCTATGTCACCCTTGGACGCCCAACTCATCCACTTGAGGGCCTGGCGCGTGATATCCCCAGTCGGTCTTTTCAGTGTATGCTTAATCTATCTCCACCATTTCTCATCTCTACACTGAATATTGATTTATGAAGTTTGCAATCTACCATATTGTATTGGCTCTAAGCTGAACAGTATTGCCTATACACAGTGAAGTTGCTGGTGTCAGACACTTGACATATTTCTTGACCTGAAAGCAGCATTCAGCTCTGTAGAACGTGGTGTTGTGGTAGTGTCCGACTGTGAATAAAGTATCGAGTATGTAATGCTTATGAAAGCTTTCCACTTGAACTCAAGCAGTCATGTGAGAGTTTGTGGAGAATTGTCAACAGAATTGATGAAAATTAAAGGGACCCATCAGGGATCCCCACTATCACCCTTCCCTTCTAAGTTCGTCATAGATATAATAATGGACATAACCTTAGGTACTTCACTGGGATTGATCTACTCTCTGAAAGGCCTGTGGTTCACTTGAAGTATCCAGATGATATTGTTCTGGTAAGTGAAAACCTCGACAAAAAGCAGTATGTTTGGCGAACATACTATTCCCACCTGCCAAATAAAATGATGCTCGAGGACTTGGTCTGAAACTACTCCCAGTTTGAGGATAGAAAGTGAAACGGTTGAATACATTGACCACTAAATTTACTTGGGGAGTTGCAACAACCCGAACCGACTGGTTGCTGACGAAATCTTAGCTCGGACACAAAGGGCCAGTCTGGGATTTGCTAACTTACGTCATTCGTGGCGCCAACCGGCGAGATATCCGGCTGCCTATTAAAGGACCGGTATACCGTGCTGTTATGCGCCTGTAAGACATCGTCGTTAAAAGTAGAAGATATGAAATGGTTGCAAGTTTTAGATCACAGGTGTTATCATCGCGTTGCCCGCGTATAGTAAAATCACTATGTGAGAAATGTGGAGGTCAGGCGAAAGCTACTAGGCAAGGAAGGCAAGTTATTAGATGAGGTGGTGACACTTCACTGACTAAGATGGTCTGGACATACGTTGTGCATGCCGAGTCACTGCCTACCTCTGCGTGCTACGCTGGTAGAAATTGGATTACGTTGGATGAAGGCCCAGAATCGCTAGATCAAGACGTGACACTAGTGCAAGGAAGTTTGACTATTTGTCTGAGCACCGTAAGGAAGTATAGACTATTGGGTCGGGGACTCTTATTGGGATGACTGAAAACCAGTCACAATAGAGCAGATATATTCTCTCTGACGTTTTCTACACTTCACTTCTAAATTCGTTCTTCTCTCAAACAACTGTCTACTTTGTCATCAATCTTCCACGAACCACTTGTTCTTTTCATGCTCCTGTGAAGTGGTAACTTGAACCGATGCACTTCTGTGCAAAGTTCTTTGTTAATTTAATCTGTCTGTCTGTTTACAGTCATTTATTAATTATTGCACAGCAGGTACCACTGACACATGTAATTACAGCTCCTCAAATAGTTTTATCTTTCAACTCTAGCGAATCCGTATCACCCAAAAGACAAAATGCCACAGAATGCAATTACTATGACTATAACACGATCATTGACTAGAGGTGCTTGTATTCTTTAGCCAAGTAGTTTATAGTTGCGGCAGGTGGTGTACTCCAAAGGTTTAATCAAGCTATTCAGATAAGCGCTTTCTCTCTGACAACCTACATTATTGTACTCAGTTAACCAGGTATTAGGACAAAAACAACTGTCATCGGTTGAATAGACAGTGTGAAGGTACATTCATACTGCTGACTGCAACAGGATGTAACATCAGCAGTGCTCTCACATATGATAAGAAATGTATCTCTTTAAACCGATAAAATTGTTTTTGCATGAATGGACTCAAGAAAATTATAGATGAAAACTGTAACCGTCCTAAGTTGGTAAATATGTACAAACGGAGTATTTTAATATGAGCAGTACACGTACAAGATAAAAACGCTGACTCGTTTTTCGTGTGCTTTGGCGTGTAAAAATGCTGGGATATCTAAATCGCTTTCCAAATATGGACTGGAGAAATCAAGAACCAAAAAATAATCACTATGATTAGGGACAAGACAACTAGCCATGAAATCACTTGTTGACAATTTGAACTGCATGACCCATGGCAATTCTGTCAGATGAATATCACAGAAGTCGGTGGCTGCGAACCCCAGTGACATGATAAAAGTTTACCGTAGCGACAGAAACGAACTCAATCCTTATATTACAAATTTTAGGCATATCAATACCCTCTGGGTTTTCATAATTATTTCTAGCTGGGACAATTGTTGCTTTGGGACTTACTACACCAAGAGCGTATATTGGCTAGTGGCCTAGATTCTGTAATTCTTCGACGACTGAGTGGAGCTCGGGGACGGCAAGCTCGAGAAAACTGGGCAGGCTTTGGATCCAGCCGCGGGTGTATCGACCAAATATTCACGCTGCGCCAAGTTCTGGAACACAGGCACGCTTACCAACGCTCGACACTAGCTATATTTCTCGGCCTGAAGGCGGCATTCGGATCCGTCGATCGAGAAGTCTTATGGCAATGTCTCACACTGAAAGCCGTGCCGAGTAAGTACACCACTTTATTGAAGGCTCTCTACTCAAACACTTATCGGTGTGTTACAGCCTATGGTGAGATGTCCGGGAAGCTGTGCTCATCGAGTGGTGTCCGTCAAGGGTGCTCACTCTCTCCATTCTTATTCAATTTTATCATAGATATTCTTATGGAGGTCTCCCTCTCATTACCTGACTACACAGAGGTTGACGTAATCGTAGAATATGCAGATGACATTGTTCTGTAAGGTGAAGACGCTGACAAGATGCAGGGTCTTCTGGACATCTTGAGTGGCAATTTGAGCATGTTTGGGATGTGTTTCTCACCACAGTTCACTCTGTTCTCCTCTATGGCTGTGAAACATGGCCATCGAAGGTGGAAGACATGAGAAGGCTTCAGGTGTTTGACCACCGTTGCCTCCATAGTATAGGTCGTATTCCGTGGTGTCACAACGTGAGTAACGTAGAAGTCAGATGTAGAGTTTCAGGGAGAAGAAGTCAGTTGACACGGTTGTGAACCTTCATCGACTGAGATGGCTGGCTGAGACATGTGTTACGTATATCTAGTCGCCGTCTGCCTCGTCACACAATGTTGGCAGAAGTAGGTTCAGGTTGGAAAAGGTTCGAGGCGGCCAGACTAAAACATGGCATCAACGTATGAAGTCTCTAACTGTTGGTTTGACTTGGATGGATCGATGGATTGGATAGTGGTAAGACTAAAAGCAATTACTATCACGGTGTAAATAGGTAAACCCAATGGTGGGGTTCCGGGAGCGACAATGTACTGCTGACTGAATAGAGGATGACAACAGATAGGTATTTCCTGTGGATTGTTAGCAGCCCATGCTGATGGTGCCTCCTCTTATCGGGAGAAGTTAGAAAAAAATCGGTACTAAAAAAATTACAGTCTATTCTACCTTGCGGTTTACCAGTGCCGACGGGATACGATTTTCTTATCAGAAGGTAGGAAAACGAAATTTCAGTGTAACACTCTTGAAAAGACCGTGTATTATTGGTCTCATGCAAACATCCTTTGGGCTCTGTAGTAATGCGAAATTAGTTACTTTTCTCTTTTGGGCACTTTAAAGAAATACTTTCCATGGTGTTAGCATGTGGAAGGAACCAACTGTCGGTAAGCTTCTGGGAGCGTACGAAACCAGCATCACTCATTTATATTATATGTCTCACAAGCACAAACTAGGATTCGTTTAACTAGTGCTCCAAATATGTTGCTTTTATCAACAGCTTTTGGGTAAACTAAACATCCAAAAAGGCAGTATCGGGTCACACGTGTTGCTATATATTCATTAACTAAATGATCAGATTGAGTGATGTGTGCAAAAGAATCTAGTAAACTGCCCTCTCAGCAACCACGTGTTTGGTCATCTACCAGGCAATGAATCACATCCTCTCGATTACGTTAGAAGAAGGTTCAGGGTGATCAGATTGAGACGCTACACAAGTGCAAGAAGCCCTTGACTGTTGGTCTGAGCCACGTGAGATAGACTGCCCAGCAGGGGCCCCCGAGAATCAGTAGTTGAGAACTATTATTGACATGGCAGAAGATCCACGATGTCTTCCAAAACCTGGATGCTTTAACTAACCCTATTCTTTAAATTCCCTCACCTCCTATACACACACCTTTCGTCTACTTCGATACCAGTCGTTTCCAATCCACCTGTTCTTTGTAGACTACTGTGAAGCGTGACAACATGAACCGATGCACTTGTGAGCGAGTTTCTACGTCGATTTATCTGTCTGTATTATATGATCACTAAGGATACTACCTGGCTTTCCGAACTTCGGTTGATGAAATGGGGGTTCGGACCCATAGCCTATACTATTTGAAAGATAATCGTTTAAACAAATGAAACACAGCTCACATATACAGAGAGAAGTGGAGACAGGTTAATGCTTAAATAAACACGAACATCATACTACGAAACCTATGAACCCTTGAATACTTCTGTACTCTTTTATCAATAAAATGTATCCACCACAGTAAAAATCCTTACGTGTTACACCGAAGCACAACTGGGTCCCTATGCTTTTCAAAGCTGTGAATATTCTCACTTTGCCAATAGAAAAGAGAATATGAGCTAAACTACTGTGTTATAATCGTAAACTGTGAGAAAAAAGGGTACACACAAGATAGGATTGAGCAATTACACTTTAGTTACAAGACATACTAACAATAATCAAAACACAGCTATTATAGTAGAAATATTAGTATACAATCACATCCTAGAAGATTTGGATTTCGCCGATGACTTGTGTCTGATGTCACAAACTTGAAGATCTACAGGTGAAATCCAACAAGTTGACAGAAGAGGTAGGGCAACGAAGACGGAACTTCCTTCAGGTGAACGTAGAGAAGACAGAGGTGATGAAGATACTCAACCAACACCACCAACAACAACAATAACAAGCTCCAATCACCATCAACGGGAGAAACTTAAAGGAAGTAGTCTCTCACCTACACCTACCTAGGCAAGGCAGTATCATTCCAACTACGGGCGGCACAGACGAGGATGTCAAAACCAGGATCGGAAAAGCAAGACAGGCTTTCACTAATCTGAAATAAGTTTGGAGATCTACCGCACTCAGAGCAAAGAACAAGATCCGGATTTCCAACACCAATGTCATTCAAGTCAGTGCTGCTATATGGTTCGGAAACTTGGCGTGTCACGAAAAGCACTACCAACAAACTACAGACATTCACCAACAACTGCCTACACTCGATAATGAAGCTCAGATGGCCAGAAAAAATAAGCAACAAGGAACTCTAGCAAAGAACCAACCAAGAACCCATCGCTCAACAAATATGCAGAAGGAAGTGGAGATGGATTGGGCATACACTGAGAAGGTCGACTGGGGATATCATGCACCAAACGAGGCGCTCGAGTGGAACCCAGATGGGAAACGACGAGTTGGGCGTCCGAGGTGAGGGTGACATGGAGATGGTATGAGGAAGAAATGAGAGCTTCTGGGCAGTCATGGAGCCAGGTTCAAAATATTGCAGAGAACAGAGTGCACTGGAGATGTGCTACTGAAGCCCTATGTTCCACTAGGAACCCAAGGGACAAATAATAATAATAATAATAATCACATACCTCAAGCACGTTTGGAATGATAACGAATCGACAGTGACGAATGAAAGTTTCTAAGTTGAAGGATGGATCCATTTTTGTGATTTCATCCAATACTTGTTGTAATTCATTTGTCGATTGAAGACCACCTGTGAGAAAACACTTCTATATCATACGCAGCAATACATCTACATTATTTAACTTATATATTACAATCTGGCAACATTCTATACGACATTTATGATGCAAAAAACTATGTCACATGTGAATCTATAGTCATAAATTATCTCAAGATAACCGAAGTTGTGTTGCATCTTTAATACAGTCTAGGCAGTGAAAAAAGTGTGAAACCTTCTCTTCCCTTCCTAAGGGTTTCAGTTGTTTCACTACACCATCACCATACACAATACCTATCATAATCTGAATGAACTCAATAAAAATCCATCATGTAGAGAGAGTATAAAGTCCACTTTAGAATAGGAAATGTGATCAATAAGATAGACCGGACGATGTCTGTTAGACGACCGAAGCCGATGACAAGTAGGCACAGACAGACACATACAGATGCATCCAGGTTTGACTTTGGCTCAGATCGTAATACCTTGTGAATTCATTTCTTTCATCTAGCAGTCTATTGTTTTTTACAACTACTAACACATTGGTGGGCTATGTACTGTAGCAACCTAGATAGATGTGTTTAGTTCAGATTGTTAGTTTTCCCTGCCTAGAGAAGATGGCAATCATTTTTTATTTACTAAGCATTTTGAAGAATAGCTGTCTACAAAAATGAGGTGATATAGAATATTTGCTTTTGGTGAAAAAGAAATCCGTAACCACAAAACTCTCAGGACCATATTTATGATTTCTTCAAAGTAATATTAAATTAGTCACATGGAAATACACATCACCTGCAAATTGGTCCTTATTTAAAAGAAGGTAGATGCCTGAGAATTTAGAAACAGTTTCAGTTTCATACAAATGAACACAATCTATCCCTCAAATAACAAACAGACACAAAATCAAGGAAAGATGTGGTACTGTTACGTAAGGGCTTAATTTGCCACACCCCATGTCAGTACATGAAGGAAGCTGTCAAAAGTGCTAGAGAGTCGTAAAAAGAGAAAAGAGGAATAAGAAATTACATCTGCGCCACTGCTATAGAATCTAAGCCATATCATCTAGAATCTACAACCATCGGTTTCTGTTATGACAAGGACCCCAAACCAGGAAGTCTACGCTTTTTCCAACACAGCTTAGACCAACTGTAAATGAGTTCATGGATTGGTGGCCAGCCATGTTCCAGTCCGACCACTTCCAACTTCTTTCTAGCTCGAACCTACTTTAGTCAACATTGTGCGATGAAGCACACGGTGACTAGGCATGTACAACACATGTCTAAGCCACCTGAGTCTATGAAGGTTCACAACTTCAACGACTAACCTCCTTCTTCGCTTTATAACGCTAAGCTTATCAAACAATTAATAGCAGAATTTCATACATAAATACATGCATAGAAAAACATTGTCCACAAGAAACTTACCGAATAGGTTGGATACTCTGTCAGTCACAAATCGCAATGATCGAATAACCAAATGATCACTTTCTTCATAATGGGCTTTCAGGTCAAAAAATCCTAAAATTTAGCGGAAAATTGAGTGATTCTCATCAATTTTCAAAGAAATTAAAAATTCGTAAAACGGTTACTATACACTTCTGGCAATCTCAGTTGGATAGACCAGTTAAATATGAAAGCTTAACGAAAGCATATACCTCCATCGCAAATCGAAAATATCCAACTTTACAGAATGCACACGTACCCATAGCTGAAGCTTTAAACTCATCCTGTCAAACTGCTGTTCAAAATTTATGACAAATCAGATTGCCTAAAAATATCTACCTGAATAAATCAGTATCAAACCCCCAAAAGTTGGCTGAAAAACCAGTATAGAACGTAAGAATGTTATACTGAGGTCGATACATGTAAGTCTTGAATAATAAATTTGAAGTCACAAGAAACTATTCCAGCTAGATCTGTTGGAAAAATCACCTCGATGAATAGTTTGGAAGGGTATAAGTCATGCGAGAAGTGTTTTTCATGTTGTCTGGTTGACGGCATCAGTGTCTTTCACGCTATAGATGGCCACCTAATGATTAAGAAGACCATACAAGATTGCATGAAAAGTATGAGTCTTATTTTGTAAATATACATCAGTACATTATGTTTTTTCTTAAAGTAACCTGTCCCTTAGACTTGAATAAAGCTCCGTCTATCTTCTCGATTTGAGTAGTGGTGTGTTTTTTTTAGCGTCATTACATCAGTGTCATTGACAGTTTATCGCATAGCGTGACAAAGAACTTTCACAAGCGTCAAATGCCTACTGTACTGAATAGAAGAATCATATATTGTCACTTGGTCATAAACCAAACTTCTGTTCACATGACCAGTAAACCTGCTGCAACTGTTTGATAATAACCGCATTAAGACTAGGGTCAACCTGCAGTATATATGGTGCCTTTATTGGTGCGTAGCTTATTATAATCATCACTATACGATCAAGTGCCAATCGGGGCTCTTGACTAAATTAAAGCACAGCTGCCTAATTTAGTTATGCTGTGATTTGAGTTATCATATTTCTGCACCTGAAACATCACAAGGGTTATGAAGGTTAAAGCCAATGAAGGCTGTGCTGAGGATACTCACAGCATGGAACACTCTGAATACTCACATATACAGAATCGCAACAGCCACTTCAACTAGTAAAATATGCGAAGAAAGCAGTGTTAAAAAGATGAATACCAAAATGTAACCGTCGTCTGTTATCGAAGAGGCGTCTTTAAATAGCTTTACAATTACAACCGTCTAAAATTCAAGTCAAAGTCGTTTTAACTCCCCTTATTGACATCTAATAGTGAAACTGTGATTTATTTAATTTCAGATTATGGTCAGGCAATCTATAAGTCTCAAAGCTCTTCACCCAGAACATCCAAGGAAGGAGGCATCTTTTACAAGTTACATAGTATCTATATTAAGTTTAGGTCGAGTTGTTTCAAGTTACCCAAAAACTAACTGGCAGAGAAATTCTACTGAACTACTAATTGAAGGGGAATAAATAAGAAATGCAACTCAGCCTTATACAGGTCTATATCTTGGGTGACGAGCTATACTTATGGTGTGAGGATTTACAATACTGCAGTGACATCTACTTATAAGTGTGTATAAGTAGTGCATATAGCAACATAGTGATAACGATCAATAGCTGAGAAATTAGACATAAAGAAAGCACAATATTAGATAGGAATATAAGAAGTGTGCGGAATGACATGCAGAACATGAGATAATTTGAAAATTGACACATTATTGCTAAGTCTAGTCATTTTACAATTATAAGTTGCGTTTCCTTACTAAAGTTCCAGCTGCTTATATGTTGGAGACCCCAGATTTACATAAAACATTGTTTATTAATCTAATCAATTTCTAATTTTTATTTTCGCGCCATTTTTACGGCATAGCCATTAGTTCATTTCTGCCCGCATTTCCAGGGTAATTCGCTGATTGGTTAATGCTTACTACGTCAATGTTTCGAAATTCTAGACAGGATCATTTGTAATGTATATATGAAAAAGCGTTCTTGGGTTAGTTGACTATTCTTGGAAGAATAAATTCTCCCATCTAGTTCAGTCTTCTCTATTTCATCTGGACTGAAGTAGGCTAATCTTGCATACGAAATTAGCTGTCAGTCAAGCGTGTGTATTATATCCCTCTCACAATATACGACACAGACTTGAAGTTACGACATTCATAACTTCCTATTGTTATACAGGGCCAAATTGTTCAACCTTTGTTGGCAGATGGTCAACGGGTATCAGTTGTTCTTATGATACAAGAGGGTGGTTATCGTGCCCCAGTGGCTAAGTGTACAACACTGGCGTTTGAAGCGAAGGGTACTAGGTCCGAACCTCAGTGAGAACTTCATTCACTAGGGTGCAAGTAGACGCAGCTGACGGGTCCCAAATAGGACGAAATACGCGTCCTGAACTCCTCTATCAGTCGCCAAGATCAATATAACATTGGACTTGTTTTGCTTTCCCAGGCCAGAAATGCCAATACCAAGGTTTAACTAAGAGTCACAGGGTGAGCAGTACATTTTTTACCGGCTGAATCCACTTGGCCAGAGTTTGGAATGCTATTGGACTTGGATGGTAAAAAACTTCGTATGTTTTTTACAATTGGTAATCCTTGTACCCGAAAGTAACCATATATATATATATATATATATATATATATATATATATATATATATATATATATATATATATATATATATATATATATATATATATATATATATATATATATATATAGTTTTAGTAATGGTTTTTAATGTGTTTTGCTTGCTTGTCTTGTTCATCGCCCTAAATTAGCAATATTATTGTGGCAATAAGTAACAAAACATAAACATGACTAGCCATAGGAATCCAACAAAAGATTACACAAAAACTCACTTTGAACATACTGATTATTTTCCTTAAAGCTTTGCCATGCAGCAGACCATTTTGGATTTTTGTGTACAACAACACCAACAGTTTCACTAAAAATGTAAACGATATTTTAACTAATTGTTTATTGCATTACAAAAAGGGAAGGTAAAAATGAATAGTACTGCATGTTTTACACGAAGGATTCATCCAGTTCGTAGGCAAAAATGTTCTACTGTGTTCATTTTACTATTCTAAGAAGGAGAATGAAATAGAATTGTCTAAGTTCGACGTTATTTTCAGGTATCTGATCAGTTATATAGAAAAGGTGGGAGTCAGTACAACTGTAATAGTTTAATTTGTCACATTTCACGTGACAACAACAAAAAGATAAGTAAATAAAAGGAAACAATAATATCACGATAAACTTCAAAAAAATTTTGTGCTGATGATATTATTCTGAATGACTGAAAGCTTTACGATTAAACCATCTAGTCCGGAGTAAACAAAACTGTTAATGTCTGCATTTTCCTAGACACAGATCAAAACAATAGTCAGAGACTCTGGTCGCCTTTGGCCATTTTCTAACCCTAACCTTCTACAGCTAGCATAGCATATTGAGGTAGAAACTGACTAAACATGGGCAATACATGACCCAGAAACCTGAGTGAATGACAACTCACAACTTCATTAAATGACCTACCTTTTTCGCAAAGATATGCCTGACATTTACATTACTAATATCGTGGATTCATAGCACATGACCTATGCTAGGAAGGTGAAATTGATAGGACACCTGACACCTTATTTTCTCTACAACCAATGACTATTCCACTGTCATACAGTACGACAAACTGGACTGTTGAGCAGTACACACTACTCTTAGTAGGCAAACAGATATTTCACTGGCGTCACAAAATGGGGAAAAGTTAGACGAGCTTTTTGTGTCCGTGGCAAGGTTTTGTCAATCACCAACTCGTCATGGTTGATCTGAGTTGCTAAGTAAGTGAAATATTTAGCGCACTCAACCACTTCACTCCTCATTTTTGGGCAGTGTTTTAATGTACAGTAGTAGTAAGGCAGCAAGTAGCGCTTGAAAAATGAGAAGGGTATCAGAAATATTCTCAAAATGATACTCAGTGTCCATAAGACTGTGCAGCTTGTCAGCATTATCATGTAAAATAATTAAATTGTCTGTCTACTCTAAATCTGCTGAAGTCTCCTGTGATGAGATCAATCTTCGTAAATCCTGGAGAAAATACAAAGGATCCTATAAATACGTCCACAACACAATTCAATAAAAGTGATGAGAATGAGTATATTTGACAAACACCAATCGATGTAAACCACATTCGATACCCCGCCAATGGGCCCTAACACGACCATAAGTGTTCTAGTATAGACCCTTTAATAGTGTGATGTGATTACAAGCACACCTTTTAGTAAAACAATCATATATCCTTTCGATCGGTAGAGTCGAATGCCGCCTTCAGGTCAAGAATACAGTTAATTTAAAGTGCCGCTGAAGGTGTCTGTATCCCAAGACCTGATCAGGCCTCGAATCTACCTATTTTTCTCAGTTTCGCTGTTTCTAAGCTCTACATACGTGCCTGATGATTACAGAATCTAGCATAGTAGACAACACTTATGATAAAATGGTTCCTGAGGTTATTAAAACAGATTTTTCTTTTCTTTCCCTGAAAACTAGGACAGTCAAAGACTGAGACCCATCAAATAGGATTACATCTGATTTTCACACTGTAGCTAACACCAGTTTATCTAACTAATAATCTTCGACCAACGTCCTTAAATACCTTTGGTACTAATTTATCCGATCCTGCTGCCCCTTCTCGTTTCAGGTTACTCATAGTTTTCTCAACTTCTGTAAGTGTTGGAGAACCTGTTTCAGTATTCTATTTGGGATTCAGCTGGATAGTGGGTAATAGAATAGTGGCTGGAAGCCAGCTGAACTGTTTTTTAAAGTGTTATAGTCATTTTTTCAATCGTCTGTACTGTGAATGAATCATAGACCCATCATTCTGCATACTAGTCTTATTAACGGTCGACTTATTCATCTATTTTCTTGACAAATTTAGATAACTGTTGCCACGGTCTTTTCCGTTTCCTTAGCCTTTATTGTCCAGCAACGAGTTCACACTCTTTGACATGCAACAGCTACTCATTGTCTATAAGCGATGGCGGGGGTTCCAAAAAATGAGAAGCCAAAAGCAAATCCCCAATGCTCATCACCAAATTCGTGAGTACGAAGGGTCGCATACAGAGATAGCCATCACCCTGATTTCAAACCAGTGTACATAGGCTTTAAAGCCCAGAACACATCGGCAGTGTGCTAACCTACTTTAATCACCCACAACCATGGAAATGCAGAACATGAGGTTGTCTCGTCGCCTTAAGGATCACTAGACCATCCTTCTGATCGGAATTTACATGAGATGGAGTAGGTTGACAAATACCAGGTGGGCTTCTAGTACTTGTGCTGAAACTTTATCGGTAAAAACCAACAAAGCTTATGCAGCTTCTTGTGTAAGTGAAATGAGCAACACAATCACTGAATTCCTTGACCAAATGAGGATTTAGAATAATCCTGTAGCATTCCTTTGCATTCAACAGATACCTTTAGTATATCAGACACTCCCATTTTCGCTAGACATCATCATCATTATCATCATTATCAACATAGGACCAGGCATTACTGTGTAACGGTCCGAGTTGCCACACCTCATATCAGCACATCAAGTAAAAAGGTAGTGAGGTGAAGGATGAAGATAAGTGAATGCAGTCAAAAGAAATATAAAGTATGAAAAGAAAAGAAAGAGGAGTGACAAAATGGTGAGATTCGGTATAGCGTTGTTAAGATGAGGATAATGTGTGTATACATCTGCGCCACTGACATCGGTTCTCAGCCATATCACCTAGGGTCTCCAACCACTGGTTCCTCGTGTCCCGCAGACCCCAACCACCTAGTCTGCATCGTACTACATGGCTTAAACCAACAGTCAGAGACTTCATACATTGGTGCCATTTCTTAGTCTGGCCACCTCGGGCCTTTCTCCAGCCTGGACCCACCTCAGCCAACATTGTGTGACGAGGCAATCGGTGACTAGGCATACGTAGTACGTGTCTCAACCATCTCAGTCGATGAAGGTTCACAACCTCGTCAACTGACTTATCTCTTCTCCCCAAAACTCTATACCTAACTTCTGCATTACTCACATGGTGACACCACGGAATACGTCCTATACTACGAAGACAACGGTGGCCAAACACCTGAAGCCTTTTTATATCTTCCACTTTCAATGGCCATGTTTCACAGCCATACAGTAGAACAGAGCGGACTGCTGTGCAGTACACGCGACCCTTAATAGACAAACGAATATCACGGCGGCGCCATAGGTGGCGAAAGTTGGCAAAAGCCAATCGAGCCTTTTGTATCCGTGCAGAAATCTCATCGGCAACTAACCCACCGGGGTTGATCCTACTTCCCAGGTAAGTGAAGTGGTCAACACACTCAACCACTTCACTCTCTATTGTTAGCCGCGGTACCGCTGAAGACCAGTCCTGGAGCAAAAATTTGCATTTGGGTGGTGAAAATCGCATCCCAAAAATTCTCAAATTCCCACTCAAAGTGTTCAGAAGACTCTGCATCTTGTCAGCGTCTTCACCTAACAGGACTATATCATCTGCATATTTTAGATCTAAAGAAAATTCACCTGTGATTGGGATTTTCGCTAGACGCATTCAGATGACTATGCAGTTTGTCAGCACAGTGTGTATATTAAATGTAGGCTACATAGGCTCCTGATAGTAACATAAACACTGATCATATGTTGATTTTACTGTGTCAGTTATGAAATCCGTAACCTGTTCTTCCATTACCTTAAAATGAGTTTTAAGTGCAATATTTGCAACTGATTCGTTACTGATGGAAATAAGTCATCACCTATAATTGATCACGAATTAACTGAATACTTGGTTGCTGTAGCCACATCTTAAAACATAAGCAAGCCATAACACCGTCGCCACAAAAGAAAAATCTGTGGCCTCAATTTGTTGATAGCCAGCAGTGGAATGCAGACTGAAAACGTCGTCCTAATTGGGACTGGTCAGTTGGATGTATCTGCATCCCAGCGAGTGATGGCGTACTTACTAAGACTCAACCCCAGTACCAACGGCTCCAAAAACGAGAGAGTTATCCAGTAGGCTAATGAGGTACGACAGCCAGGACGTTCTGTATTCTACTGCTAACCACCACCAACAGATTGTAACAATCAATCTTCAAGCACTATCGAGACATACGCGTAGAACCCCATATACCAAAAGAGGTCGGTGAATTAGATCCAATATGGCTACGAGGAACTACAAGCAGTAATAAATAACCCATGGCTTTCATCCTAAAAATAACCATACACAAAAAGCTTAACTAAGTAACCAAAGGATATTAGGACAGAAATGTATATTAAAAAGGATAGTCACTGATTCCAAGCTGAACAAAACCCTCAAGACCGGAAAGGTGAGACGGTGCATTATTTTATTTTCTCACTACAGAAACCAATTTTTATTCATGTGACACACGCTTATATACCGCACAAGTCATTCAAAACACCTTATTCAAGATGATCACGTGGGTATGTTGAATAAAAGCAATCTCATATATGAAGGAAAGCAGTTTTGGAACTTATCATCAGAAGTGAAATATGAAACTTAACCAGGGGTAAATATGTGTACCAAACTGTATATCCCCATCCAAATAGTTTAACCAAGAACAAATACCAATGTGTGATTAAATCCCACTATTTCTTGAATAAAGAAATAAATAGAAAATGGATCTGAGAAAGTTGAATAGCTGGTGTAAATTTAATTATACCATTACTTCTCGTGTACAAACACCACTACACTTTACAATGTTGCCTAAACTCATCGCTAATCATGTCACATGGTCCTTCTCCACTATTCTCAAATCCACAAGTTATTCTTGTTTAGCTGACATATGAATAATAATTACCGTTCTCTAATGGCCATAACGTGTTGTCTAGAATTACCATGTATAATTCTGTACAAAGCAGGAGTTCAATGATACATAAAATGTGGTACTAATGAAAATATTGGACAAGCATTGATATGAATTGTCAACAAGCAGTCTGCTTTATGTATGGCAAGTAAACTCCCCATAAATATCTAGGACTCAACAGAACTAAGTAAGAGAACTGATCGAACATAACTAATTTTCTACACAATTCATCACTAAAGGATAAGCAGACAAACAAAATCAACGCAGACACTTGCACACAAGTGAATCGGTTTAAGTTGCCACACTTAACAGTAGTATAGAAACGACAAGTTAATAGAAAGATTGACTCAAGGCAGACTAAGTTGTATGAGAGGATAAACAACTTAAAGAATAGAGCGCATATTCAATCCTCAGAAGAGGTCAAGGAGTGAATACATCTGCGCCAGTGTCACCAATTTTTAACCGTGTCACCAAGAGTTCTCAATCATTCACTCCTATCGTTTCAGGCACCCCATCTGGGTAGTTTACATTCCCCCACACTGTTCAAACCAGTCAGGGACTTCATTAACTGGTGCCACGTCTTGTTCTCGGCACCCTAACCCTCTTCCAACCGAATCCCCTAGCATGGTACTTTGAGGTAAGCGGTGGCATGTGCAGCGCATGTTCAAGCCACCTCAGCCAGTGATGGTTCACAACCTTATCAATCGACTTGTCTATCTTGCTCAATACCCTTTGCCTCACCTCAACATTGCTCACATGGCGATTCCATCAAACGCGAGGAATATTACGAAGAAACCTATAGTTAGAAACCTGTAACTGATTCATGTCTTCTACTTCTAACGGCGATGTCTCACAGCTGTACAAGAGGACAAAACGAACTACAGCGTGGTATACTCGTCCTTTAATAGGTAGTCGGATATCTCACCTGCACCACAGATGACGCAAGTTGGCAAATGCCGATCGGCCCTCTTCTATCGAAGCTGAGAATTCGTCAGCAACCAATCCGTTCGGTAAGATTCAAATCCGCCACTTCAGTCTCTACCATTAAACTGGGGGTATTTGCAACAGACCAGTCCTGGAGCATCATCTTACATTTGACAGGTGCCAGCGAAACAGGTTTGAAACCTGCTTGGTTCTCTCGAATTTGTTGTTTTCGAGCTTCAGTTAAACATGGGATAACTATGGACTCAGGGATCTTGGAGAGAATGTCAGCCAAGCTGATTCCCCTATGCTTGTCACAAGGTTTCTTTCCCTTCTTATAGACTGATATGATGAGAGATGTAGACCAGTCTGATGACACTACTTCTGATTCCCATATACTACCTACTACCTCCGCTGTAGGTTGTAGGGTTGTTTGTGAAAATACTAACATTTTCTGTGTTCTGTTTGAATATCCTACTTATTTGCATAGTTTCTACAATGTCTTGTCAGTGAATCGTGTTTCAAACCGTTTATATATGTGTAAAGTGTTGGCTGCACCTCCAATTCTTAGGTGGGAAGTAAACACAGTTGGTCAGGATGAATGACGCTCACAGATCACAGTGAGTTTGTTGAGGCTTCAGATTAGATCCACAAAGATTAATGATTGCAGTTTTCACTTTAGAATGTATGTATACAGAACAACTAAAATGCACATTTTCAGACAAAATGCCATAACACCCGGGGATGACTTCTAGTCTCACCCCTCGTCACTTTAATTAGTAACTTCTTACCCCTATCCTTGACAACTCCGGGTGGTTAACTGTCAGGTTTTGTTCTTTTGCGTCGTTTCACGCTTGATGCAGGTTTTTCAACTTCAAAGAGTGTTGGAGCATCAACATATGCGTTCCATTCAAGTTTAGGCAGAATCTTGGGCAGCTGCAGCGTTGCTGACGGCAAGCTAAACTGCACTTTAAAGTGCTTGCCTAACATTATAGCTGCCTTTTCTGAGGCTATGTGCGTTCCATCCTTTTTGTTAATGATTTCACTATCTTCTTGCCGGTATCCTTAATAAGGCTAAACATTTGCTATGTGTTATCCAATGGTGATGCCTTTTCAATCTCTCTCGCTCTCGGCATCCACCACTGCTCGCAATCAATGCGAAGACTTGGTCGATTTACATTTAAGTTGCTTTCGCTTCTCGGCGTAGTCAGACCCAGCTGGAATCATTCTCGCATCAATCAGTTCATATGACGTTACGGAAATCTAATGACTAAAGAAGAATACAACCTAAAACTCATTAAACTGTAAAAACACTTAGGAAATCGCACTATTGAAGAAACTTTCTTAGTTTCTGGACCCTTAAAGTAGACGTTTTGACACTTAAGTCAGATGAAGTAAAAAATAGTATAGTGAATTACAGATATACACTCCTGTCAGTTTACATCACTGACTTTGGGAATGTAACTACCGGGAGCCAAGTACGAATAACAAGTAGCAATAATAGAGGGTTAAAAAAAATCAGAGATCGAACGACATAAGTTTCAGGTCCTACGAATTGAGGTTTTGTAGATACCATCCTCAATCGGAAACCTATCAAATGTTGCACTAAAATGTGTCAGTTTTAAAAGAATGTAATCTAATAAATTTAGAGAATGGAGATATAGATAGCACAGTAAAACAGGCACTATTACTTATTAGCTGCCCAACTTTGCTAGAAAGAGATCCATCTTATGCTTTAAAAAGTAAGTAGATCAAATTCCTAGATCAAAGCTTGGGTAGCTAGTTGATTTCCAATTTAATTGCACATATTTTTTATGGTGAACCCTATTTTTGAGACACCGAACGATGCCGTCTGACTGTTTACACTTCAGAGCAAGTGAACGCATTCAGAAACCTTGTGTACGTTAGTGCTGTAGGCAATGAGGCACACACTGTGCGCGGACTAACTTTACTAGCTGGCTGCCCAAACCTTGGTAGATGGAACTGTGCAGAAAAGTAGACTTGGGATCTGAAGGATATAGAGACGAGGAGTCCGATGGTGATAAACTCTAAGCTAATAAAAACAGCAAAATACATCCTACTACACTTATGGGGGGGGGGGTAAACTACATAGTGCACTAAGCACTTTCATGAAAGTGCACATGTGTGGCTTTTTCAGCTAAGTGACCACACTGCGAACTTGGTCGGCAGTCTTCAGTTATTGCTAAGCACTAAGTAACAAAAAGCTACACCGGTCATCAACTGCTGATCGAGTATTGAACAACCAATATATTTAGTACAGTCACAATTTGTCAATAATAATCATATCTAACCTGTCAGGTTGTATGATCCTTTCTTCACTTTTGCCAGCAATTTCACTCCGTGTCTTTAGAACACCTATTTGTACAGCAAGGTAAACATGGAGACAATTTATTTACTTGGGGCTTGATACATTCGAGATCTGTCCGAGTGCAGCTCCTGTTCGACTACTTCAACACCCTACTAAGATAAATCAAAGCTATTTGTATTACTTTCATGGCCGCTTTGACGAACTCCGTGTCACTCAATGATTTAGTGGCATCGAGAACCTGCTCCCCGGCTTTTGATAAACTTTCAATACTTTTTCTCAGCGTTTCGTTCTGAGAAAGTTGCTGAGCATCGTCGCGGATTTTACTTTTGACGGACTGTATCGTATCCCTTACTTTTCCAACGGTGTCAGTAGGTAGTTCTTTTTCTATCTTTTTCTGGAAGAGAATCAATTAGATGACGACAAACACTAACATAAAATTCCCTGACAGACTTCAGTTCCTTTGATTGCTCTAGCTTGGCAGTTTCTTCCCGAAACTTCCTTATATTTTCCTATGCTAATGTGAAATAAAAGAATGCTTCCATTACTTTCAACTCAGTGTCCTTGTTCGATTCTTCCCTAACTTTCTCAATCAAGCTCTGTATGAACCCCTTGGAATAGTACCGGCATGTCTTCTGCATAAAGTAAACTTTTGAAAAAAGCAACTAACCGGACTAAGGCTCGTCAGTGACCAAGGATGGGACTTAGCTGGAAACAGACTAATCAATCTGGCTGCGAAAGACATGCTGAGGCGATAGTTTCATTAAGACCGCGTCCGAAATTCCAATCCAATATTATCCAATATTGATAGTGCGAGCGTAGAAAACTGGTAGTTTTTGATCTCTCGCTTCTAGTTCTTTCAACTTTCAGTCTTATGTAATAAGGATGGTTGGCCGAATATTCTGTCACTCTTTGCATTAGTTGGTTAGACAGTGGTGCAGATACACTCCCCATATGTCCTTTCACCAGATGGTTGCTTGGAGTGGTTGAGAAAATAAGATGCAAAAGATAAAAGATGTCCAGCGAAAACAAGGGAAATAAAGGTAAAAAACAAGTTGAAAAGAAGCAGAACGAAAGGAATAAAGCAACCCGGCTAGCTTCAGGAAAGACGGGAAAGGGAAGTGTGGAAAGGAGAACCCGAATAAATCAAACAAGATCATACGGACAGGAGGATGGAAAGGAGCAAGATGGGAGGAGGAGGATAATGGGTCAATTGTCCGGTCATGAAATGTGATACTGTGCAGGCTCTGAGAACATCTCCTGCATAAATGGGAACATACAGATGATGTGAGTATGGCCAACAAAAAGGTTTGAGCTTTCACCTTTAAAATTTTAAAAGGTTTCAGATGGTAGTAATGGATTGGCAGAAGGCTCCTCTCAAATAATTTCTATCTCCAGAAAAAAGAAACCGGAATCTCCCCTAGTTTTTAAATCATGTACAGCATAATAGGAGAGAAAATGGCGGTAAAATAGGGAGAGCAAGGCATTTTTCACTGTTATTGTCAGAAGAATCTTTCGCCTAATCGTTTTCCGTGCCTGGAATCCATGGGCAGCTCGTTCCTGTAGTTTTTCACCTGTGTAAAAGTGAAGAAAGTGGCGGTGAAAATGTGAAAACCATTTTCCTACAAAGTAAGCTTCTAATTACCTCTTGACAAAGTAGCGCCCCGCCTTCAAAAGAATCAGATAAAGTAGTCTGGATCGCTTCTGCAGGAACGTGTGGTGCCACACACCTCTCCAAAATCAATAGCCTAGGGTTTGACGACTTTCGACATTGGTGCTGACCTTGATAGTTCAACTGGACTCGCTAAGCCGAAGGCATCCGGTCAGGCATCCTTACCATCTGGCACGCTGTCGTGTTACGTTGCACTGCTCGTATTCGACTCTCTAGCCAGTTAGTTGGAACGCATCGGTATTTTGGCCCAACCACCCAAATATTCTATTCCATCCGACTACGCTATCGTGTTCTTCCTTGGTCTCGTATTCGTGGGTATATAACAAGTTCGAATAATTAGTGATTGGTCTTTGCGTCTGTCAAGTTCGCACCAGGACAAATCCTAAATTGGTGAGCCCGACGTGATCACATATCCCGACCAATAACAAACATTGAATTGGTGAGCCTGTTCCATTTTATATTTGTATATTGTTTTCATTTCGATAACATTTATATATCCATTTACTACACTTTCTCATGTCCGACCACACTCCCAAGCTTATTCGTATTAAGCCGACCACGAACACGATCCAACTCGTGCCATATTGGCCAGACAATGCAGAAACATGGTTTCTGTATGCCGAGGCCGATTTTCGAGAACAGGGTGTCTCAGATCCTCATTCTCGATTTCTTGCCGTCATACGGTCACTACCGCGAGAATTAAACAGGTATGTTACAGCACACATGTTTAATCCTGAAGTAAGTGACCCTTATGCACTTCTAAAGGCTGCACTCTTGAAGAAAAGCGATCTCACAGATCGCCAACGTCTAGACGAATTGCTTCGTAACATCGAGCTAGGCAGCCACTCAGCTACTGAAGTCCTCGCACGCATGCGAGAAGTAATCGGTGCACGAACATTCGACGATGGTTTCCTCCGAGAACTATTTCTCTCGAAACTACCACAACCGGTGCAAACCGTGTTGGTGACACTGCAGTCAGTCCCACTCGACGACCTGGCAGCCTCAGCAGATAAAATACTGGAGATTTCCAGCAGACCCGTCTCCAACGTATATTCTATCTGTGACAAACCAGAGCGCCAGGATTCAGAGGTGACCAAGCTGTGCAACTCTGTGAAACAGTTGCTACGATCTCGAAGTCCTAGATCACGTAGAACTTCACAGAAACGCGTCTCACTGCATCGCAGCAAGTCGCGTGGTAGCCCCAAAACGAAACCTAACAGGGTGGAAAACCCTGAATGGTGCTGGTTTCATAACACTTACGGAGACGAAGCCAGAAAATGTCGGAAACCATGCCGTTTTAAGAAGGACACAAACTCGGGAAACGGTCACGCCGGCACGTGTTCACGGCAACCGTAGCCGGCGGAAACAGCCGTTTGCTCTACGTCACGGATATTAAAACGAAAGTCCGCTACCTCGTCGACACCGGCGCAGAAGTTAGCGTTCTTCCAGCAACGACAAAGGAGCGTCATCATGACCCATCCTTCAATCTTCAAGCAGCCAACGGCAAGGCAATCGCGACATTCGGGAGACGGTATGCCTACCTCAACTTAGGTTTACGCAAACCTATCCACTGGATCTTCCTCCTGGCTGACGTCTCTATGCCCATCATTGGCATAGATTTGCTAAACCATTACGATCTACTCGTAGATGCTCGCCGTCGACGACTGATAGATAACAACACAAAGTTATCTATTGGCGGCACCACCTATGTAGGTCCGAGTTTAGCCATCGTTAGGACTAAACAATCAGGCGACGCGTCCTACCAGGCAGTTCTGGAGAAATATCCAGAGTTACAACAACCGAAACACACTCTTCCGTGCATAACCAGCAATGTTATGCATCACGTCACAACCACAGGTCCACCTGTGGCATCCAAAGCGCGCCGTTTAGCCCCCGATAAGCTGCAAACGGCGAAAAATGAATTCGACCACATGCTCGAACTGGGCATTATCAGACCGTCAAACAGTCCTTGGGCATCGCCATTGCACATGGTTCCCAAAAAGGATAGCAACGACTGGCGTCCAACCGGTGATTACCGAAGGCTTAACGCCAAAACAACTCCGGACTGCTACCCTATACCTCACGTTTACGACTTGACTGCAACCTTATGCGGCATGAACATTTTCTCGAAAATCGACTTGGTCAAAGCGTACAACCAGATACCTATGGCAGCAGAAGATATCGCGAAAACAGCCATTATTACTCCTTTTGGCCTGTTTGAATTCCTGCGCATGCCTTTTGGTCTTCGGAATGCAGCACAAACATTCCAACGCTTTATGGACGACGTCTTCCGTGGTCTGAATTTTGTTCATGTCTACATCGATGACTGTCTAATTGCGAGTCCAGATAAGGAAACTCACCTTAAACATTTGGACCTCGCATTCGAAAGACTTAAAAAACATGGCATCACAGTTAACTTACAGAAGTGTGAAATAGGAGTTGAATCACTCAGCTTCCTTGGGCATACCATTGACAACAAAGGTATACGCCCATTGAGAGATAAAGTGGCGGCTATCACAAACTATCCAGAGCCGACCACTGTGAAACATCTCCGCACTTTCAATGGCCTGGTAAGTTATTACCGAAGGTTTATCCCTAACTGTGCCTCTGTCATGAGACCACTCACAGATCTACTTCGAGGAACTGCGAAGTTCGTGTCTCTGGACAACGCGGCTAGACTTGCTTTTTCTAAAGTCAAGGAAGCCATTTCGAACGCAACCATGCTTATGCATCATGACCCCAATGCTCCTTTGAGTATTGCTGTTGATGCATCTGATTCAGCAATTGGAGCAGTTTTGCAACAGTTGACTGACAACCAGTGGCAACCGTTAGCCTTTTTCTCGAGGCGGCTGCAAGACGCGGAAACAAGATACAGTACATTTGGTAGGGAACTCCTAGCCATGTACTGTTCTGTACGCCATTTTCGACATTCTGTGGAAGGTCGTGATTTCATTATTTTCACAGACCACAAACCGTTAACGTTTTCCCTCAGCTCGGCGTCTGACAAATACTCCCCTCGTGAGTCGCGACAGCTGGATTACATTTCCCAGTTCACGTCAGACATCCGCCACATTTCTGGAGCAAACAACTCCGCAGCCGACGCACTATCTCGAATAGCTTCGATAAACTATATCGAGGGTATTGATCTCGTTGAACTAGCTCGGCGTCAAAAGGAAGACCTTGAGCTGCATCATGAGTTGTCGTCCACAACTCTCAAACTGCGACTTTGTCCTGTTGGATCAGACAAGGATACAATTTTGTGCGATGTCTCTGCTAGTCAACCACGCCCAATAGTTCCGAAGAGTTGTCGACGCAACGTCTTCAATACGTTGCACAAACTCTCTCATCCAGGTGTACGAGCCACCATTAGGCTTATCGCACAACGTTTCTGCTGGCCTGGGATGAACAAAGACGTTAAGGAGTGGGCCCAGTCGTGCTTAGCTTGTCAAAAGTGTAAAGTCACGCGACACACGAAAAGCCCTTTAGGCTCATTTCTAGCCCCAGACATGCGTTTCGACCACGTCCATATAGATATTGTAGGACCCCTACCAGAATCTAATGGATGTACCTACCTTTTCACTGTGTTGATCGTTTCACACGATGGCCGGAAGCAGTACCCATTAAAGATATTACTGCCGAAACAGTTGCTCGTGTTTTCGTCGAAAGATGGATCGCGAACTTCGGATGTCCATCTACGTCACAACCGACCGTGGGCGCCAATTTGAGTGTGGATTATTTCACGCTCTAACGGCACTTTTAGGTTGCACTCGGTTCCGAACGACAGCCTACCATCCACAAGCAAATGGCATGGTAGAGCGTTTCCATCGACAGCTGAAAGCTTCCCTTTCAGCTACAAACATACCTCAGTGGACCGAGGCTCTGCCTCTAGTCCTACTAGGTATTCGTAACGCGTTGAAAGTTGATGCTGGATGCACTCCTGCAGAACTCGTCTATGGGACCACTCTTCGCCTACCAGGTGAGTTTGTTTCCCCTTCAACTTTCAAACATGTTTCCGACAGGGCATCTTACGTGACTAGGCTTACAAACGCAATGCGTTCAGTTAGGCCTTCTCCGATTAGACCGCAAACGACTGATGTTTTCGTCCACCCCAGT